AGAATACATGTTTTTAAATGTTTAGTGGGCCAACCTTTGGAATATGGTAACAGGTAGTTTGGCGACATTTTGGTAAGGCGATAAAGGTTACTAGCTAGGACTTTAGCAATGTACATAGATAAAGTCAAGAGTGTGCGCAATGCCATTTTTGTGCAATTCTGGAATGTTTTTTTAAGTGAAAATAGGTCGACGTGCACATGGATACCGTATATGTGCAATTCTTAAAAACACGGCAAGCAGTTTACGATTTTGCACTTTTTCCCAATTTCGCACCTAATCTTCGTCATGATTAAGCACTTTTGTTCCATAAAAGTTCCAGCATAAGCGTAATTCGGCTAGCAGATTGTTGGAAAAAAAATTTTAAGTAAAAAAAAAAGCCTTTACTTCGTGAAAACAAAATGGCGTCCAAACTAAAACTAACAGGTTGCTGTAGCAAGGTTGGTCGCCAAATTTTCGCCAAAAAATCGCCAAGTTACCATAATTCAAAGATTAAGCCTTTAGTGTCGGTGCGGCATGGTGGCACTCTAAATATGTGGCGAGCCGAAAGTCCTCTCGTGTGGTTTGGAGAGAGGGGTGGCAGACCTTCGGACCAGTTCCCCCGGCGTGCTCTCACTCAAAATTGTGGACGGAACTGAGCTAAATCGCACTCTCACGTGAATGTTGCTTAAGGCTGTTGTCACCGGCAGGCGTAATCTAGCGCTCCTTGCCACGAGGAATTTCGTGAGCTTGGGCTGACTACGTCAGACAAGTGAGCATAAACAGCAACAAAATACAGAAAAATATAAGCCACCAAAAATTAAGGTTAAAATTGGATTTTCTACGCAAAAGCAAGCAATTCGGCCAGCGGGCAAGAACGTAGATTTTTAGGTGCACAAAAACTGAAAGTTTGCTTTTGGTCCCACTCGCAAAAAGACACTAAAGGTGCAGAAACTGACTTTATTCGAAATTCTACTGCGTTTCAAATGTAAAGAAATAGCGGTTCTTAACTCGCCGCAAACTTTTAAATTGTTAATGATTCTACGACTATTGCATGAAGATTGACTAAAGGCATAAAAACCTTAACCGGAACATAAAAACCACGTAATTCAATCATTTTTAAACCAAAACATGTACAGTTTACTAGCATATAAGAATAGGAAAAGAAGCTCACCGAGACAGGTAACAGAGTGAGGATATATATATATATATATGTGATGTACCAGCTTTAGTCGTAGCTTAAATTATCAGACGATAAGTTTAAAAACAGGATCCATTTATTATATCAGGAGAAATAGCAGTTTCAAAATCATATTTCCGGAGTAAATAAAAAGAATTACTAATAACTTTTTTATGAAGTTTACTGCATCGTTGCATTAATGAAAAAGCCCCCGATATTCTTTTGCGAGTCCTTTTATAACCTCTGGAAAGGCGGAGCTTCCAAGAAATGACGTCAGCCTCGTCAGCCAATCCAGTTCGCTTTAAATATTTCCAGAACATTCTATGACTGTACGTGTAGAAAAAGGCGGGAAAAACAACTTGACTACGGGGCTGTGGATTTAATTCCACGTACTTTCAAATAAGAGACCGTCGCCATTAAAAATAAAAAGAACATATAGTTAGAATTTTAAGTGTATTCTTGACTATGGAATTTTATTATTACATATATATATATATGAGAGACTGGTGCAGCCGATTGCAACGAAAACGGGAGGTGCACAATTACATGTTATAGCAGTTCCATATACAAAATTTCAACGCCCTATCGCTACTCGTTCTCGAATTATGCGAGATACATATATGCGTACGTAGAGACATCAAGAAAAAAATCTCTTCAAAATAAACTTTAAATCCTTCTTACAATCCGTTTTGGCACCAAAAGTCCTTTATTCTGTCCCTACGTACAGATGTTACGCAGAAACATCATTCAAACGGTTTCGAGAGCGGTTAAAATGGATATTTTCGTTGAAATATGATACTCGAAATTTTTCGCGATTAGAATACTTCGTACAAGGAAGTAAAAAGGTCTATTTTTTTATCGGAAACGGAGAATGCACCTAATTCCGTCTAAGGTTTTAAGTTTCGGTAAGGGGTTTATGATTGTAGCAAGTTTCTCTTACAATGGGAAATCAAAACTCTGGAAATTGGTTGACTCTGGGAAGGAAGGCAGTGATTTTGAGTCACGCAGTCAGTCAAAGCAGTTATTTCCAGATTCCACGCAGTGATTTCCAGTCACACAGTGAGTCAATGCAGTGATTTGCAGAGATTTCTTTGAGAAAGTTTTACATCTGAAGCTTGCAGAAGAAATTCTGTTTTTCAAAGAGCGAAACGCCATGAAGACAAAGCAAGAAATCGTACTTCGAAGAGTACCGCAGTATTCCTCGAAAAATGAAGACACGACACAGATGATGCATATATATCTTTTCAGTATATTCCTGCAAAGTTCCTTGACGTTTCGTCTACACACTATCATGCCTTTGATCTCCCGAAAAGAGTTCTTTCTAGGCACTAACCCTCCACGATTTATTGATTCTGGAAATTAGTAGAGAAGGAATGGAAATCAGTACTCTTTGAAAGTTTACGAAAAGCCTTTGTATCCTGGAAATCACACTGCAGACATTTAGTCGAGAAGAAAGACTATCAGATCTAATATTAAAAAAAAAATATTCTATATATTTTAATTGGCTACGGTATTGTTCTGAAAATATGTAAACAACCTCTGTATGATCAAACAGAATACATTTTTTGAACTAAAGTCGCGAAATAAAAAAATAATAAAAGATATATTCTGCAAATAAGGTCAGAATGGATTATAAAAATTGCCAAGTGAGAAGTTAAGTCACCAAACAGCTTGATTTCGATATCAGTCAACTAGCCCACCAGCGGCCGAGCGGTAAAGTCGCTGAACACTGGTAGTTCGGTCCGAGGTTCGAATCCCGCGAATGGGCTGGCTGCATGGGCGTTTTCGTGGTTCTTCCCACGTGTAACGTGTATACGAGCCACTTTCCCTTAGAAAGTCCCCCACGATGGCATCCTTCCCCTTAGGCAGATAACCCTCGAGGCTTTGCCATAATCACACACACACATATCAGTCAATTAATTAAAATCAAACGCTGTCCAGACGGTACATTAGTTAGGGAAGCCTGACTGCGATAACGAAAGGGCCGGGTTCGAGTCCCGGGGAAGGCATGGATGTAAAATTGTCTGTTCCTTCATGAAAGGTAACAGTGGCTGCCTGTCAGGTGCCTTTCTTGCTTTAGGAGTGGTCAATGCCGTTATAGACAAGTGCCCGCCATTGGGGGGGATTAAAATCAGGCAAAAACGTAATTTGACGAATATTTTCAATAACCCTTATTGACTTTGAAAGCGACCAAACACAGATCTTTCTTTTTCAGAAGAAGGGGGAAGATTTTGCTTAGTTTTTTTTTTTTTTTTCTTTTTCTTGGAAACATCTGTCTTGCTTAAAACGCCATCTTGCTTTTTTGCGTATTTCTGAATTTTTATTTTACATTTGCATTAAATTTTATTCTTTTTAGTGAGGGTTGTTCTCCAAGTATTATGATTAGGGTTTACAGCGTCGGTCATATAGTTCCTAGAAACGTTACGAGCCGTTCATAAATGAAGTTTTGCATTAAAGGCATTATAAACAGTTCATTAACAAACATTTTAAATTCTCTAATTAATATACTATGAAAATGCCTATGTATGTGTTTCTAGTTATATTTATATTAAATTAGTTAAATTCCGCTGCTGTTTTGAAGGATATTTTTCTCATCGCTTAATGTTACCAAAATAAACCGTGGATAAACGTGATGACATTAAATGGCGTCTTCCGTACTTGATAATGTGATTAAGAACTTGAAAATACCACACCAGTACAGAGGATTGCTTACAAAAAGAAACTAGTAATCTTTTCAAATATAGTAACTTATGAAGCATATGTGTACTGTTCTGCTGAAAGGAGAATAAGATACAGAGGATGTTCACACATTTTTTAGACGATGTATATTGTATTCACAAAACTAAATTACATGAAATTCTTGTGTTTTAAATGTTCTCTATTTGACATCCCTTATTCTGAACTATCTTTCGACACCGCAGTTTCCAGGATAATAATGCCTTTTGAAGTGGCAGAAGAGGTTTTAGTAGGGATATCAGTAAACGGTATGGCCTTGATACCAGTTTTTTGTTCCATTTCTTTTAGGAAATTTACAGTGGATTTTGATGTGTGACTGCCAGCTTTGTTCTGAGGGAGTCTCACAGATCGATGGCACTGTGGGTAAAGCGATGGTATTTCATTCAGAAAAATTGGAGATAAAATATGTTCCTGATAGTATTTGGAGTTAATCTTGACATTTGTTTGCACTCTCTTTATTTTTAACTTGCCATTATAAGAAAAACCAGCAAGAATCATGAATCTCTTAGAAAAACTTTTTTCCTATTCTTTGAACCATGTACTTAAAATTTTTCCTCCCCTTTTATGATAGTAAATGGCTCCTTTTTTGTTACAATCATTTAAATACACCCATGCTTCATCTATTGTGACAATTGTTTTTCATTTTTCTTTGGATAAGTGTTTCTCATATAGAATTCTGCAGCGCGTCCTGCGTTGAGCGATATGCTTTGGAAGAAGACAATGCACATTTCGTTTTTTCGCTTTCTTAAGATTTAAATCAACGTTTATCCTTTTGTTTACAGCGTACACCGAGCATTTTAATGATTTTGCAACTGTCTTTTGACTAAAGGGATTTTCATTTAACATTAAACAACGTACCTTTGCAATAGCCTTCGAACACTGCTTTGTTAAATTCTCCATTTTGAGTAAAAACAAAACTTTCAAGCCACAGACGATAATTTTGACTTTTAAAAACATAGTACAATTGGCAATTACTTCTTTTGCAGCAAACGATTTTTTATTACCGCTTACCAAAATCATCTAAAAATGTGCGAACAGCCTCTGTAGTTATATTGCTTTTAGAATTCTGATTTCAAAATATTTATAATTAATAAAATTTTATGTTTAGATACGAAAGTGTGTGCGGACTGCCAAAAAATATTACAAGAGCTAGAGAAAATAGACGACGATGCTGAGAATTTTGGTATCCAGTTCGTTAAGAATGGTGAAAAATTCGTGGCCAGACGATACGGAGTTACGGATTTTCCTGCCCTCGTCTATTTTCGGAATAAGGAACCTGCCATTTATCATGGTAAGTTAAATTTTTTATCCTTTCTAATCCCACCTTTTACATTACATTTTATTAATTTATTTATTAGAATTAACATATTACGTGCTCTTGCTGTTTTCCCAAAATGGCCCGAAAATTGTAATTTAAGGGGATTGGACACCTGAAAAACCATAAGCTCTTCTTCGAATATGTGACTGTTGCCCTGCCCAACCTGCCCTTCTCAGTAGTCCGATCACCATGATCCTCTAAAATCGTCTGCCTACTGGAACTTCCTCCGTTGACGACGGCTTGGCATTCTCTGTTGCACGTCTTTCCTGATACAAGAACACATTTTCTACGATGACAGGGTTCGTAGCGGTCCTTATAAGTGCTTATAAGTCCTTATATTTGAAAATAAAATATAAAGGCCATTATAGGTGCTTGCTTTTTCTTTAAAGCCCTTATTTTTTTGTTTTTAGTGCTTATTTATTTATTTATTTATTTTAATGAACGCGCTATTTTTCTCCGTACCAAAGCAGAAACTACTAAATAAACAACTTTTCTTTCTAATATGGAATGTCAGATGGTGAATCATACTCCCGGAAATAGCTTTTCTTCTTTCTCTGCATTAACATAACCTTTGGTATGCACGAAGAGTACAGACAGGTGCCCGTCGTCTATTGGTCAAAGAATTGCGAAAGCAGTAGAAAATTCCGGTACGTTCGGCATTCTTTTCCTCCCACCCAAATACTACACACTTTTGAATTTCTATCAAGATCTTAATAATTTGCATTCTCGTTCCGCTTGGTCAGTTCATATTCGTGTTTATTATGATCGTTATGCTTATATTATGAGCATATGTATGAATGTTTATAATAACATAGTTGCTGTAACTGCTGAAGTATAGTAAACTTTTAAAAATGTTTGTTTTTTAACACAGCTTTCTAAGGAATAATATTCGGAATGGCTTAAATAAAGGGAAAGTAATAGAATAGTAAAAATAATTTTGTTTTTTTGGCCAATACATTATACAGTATGAAGTTTGGGAGGTTCTCCCCTTTCTCCGCAAAATCTCGAATATTGAAACTGTTACAGTTCGTTGCAAAACAAGCAACTTTTTTTTTTTTTTTTTTTTTTTTTTTTTTTTTTTTTTTTTTTGTCTGTCACTTTCTAATCTGGATTGAATAGGACTAAAAGTTTTGCGGTCTACCAACCCAAGCAAAGAATGATTCTATTCCATTCCGGAAATTTAACGCCATTCAGAATTTAGATGTTAATTATTTAAATATCAATATGAGTGGAAAAATAAATTGTGTTTATTATTAGGTTCCAAGCGAATACAATAAATATGTCTTATTACTATTTATTTTCTCTATTTTGAACTGAAATTTCATCATTAAATCTTGTAATATGTTTAGTTCTGCATAGTTTTTTTTCCCCTCTCATTGTAAACTAGTTCTGTAAATTGAACTGTTATTTAAAATTAAAAAATAAATAAATAAAAGTAATTATTTTCCATGGTTGAGGTAATGCTTATTCTCTCTTAATAAATACTGCATTTCTCATATTTTAAATTACAAGCCTAATTTTTAAGGTTATGCAGTTGTGTATAATGTAATTAGACAGGTGCTTATTTCTTTTTCTTAAAATGTGCTTGAAAAGTGCTTATAGGTGCTTATTTTTTTAACTAAAATATGGCTATGAACCCTGGATGATTTTCCTAGCAGAAATAACGGCACGAAAACTGAACATTCTGGAAGTTCCGTTCCTTATATCTTCTTCAGCGTACGCTGGAGAGCTGCGCATTTCACATCATTCGCATAACTCGGGGACATGCGTCTACCCTGAAATTTGCATAATTTTTGGGCCATTCCTTCTTGGTGTTGCATTCGATGTCGGGTAGTGTACTAGTTTCTGAGACGTAGTAAGGTCCAGTTGCCTAGCAAGGAAATTCGACTTTATGCCACTTGTGATCGCAAAGCCCTCGTATGAGCGCTCCGCTGCTCTTCTTCTCCTACCATTAAAAATCAGGAAATTTCCTAGCATTCAGCATCTTCCATAGAAATCGATGCCGGTTTCGAAATTGGGACAATTAAATATATTTTCTCACTAGTTTATTAGTGAGCCATACTTGAAAATAGTCAGATTACAGTTGTCAAGTTATTTGAATATGTGAAAGCCAGGAGGGCTTATCTGGCTCCCTAAGAGGGAGAGATATTTTCATGGAGAACTTACTGAAGGAAACTGTCATGTATTTTCATTATACATGGGGAAAACCACGAAAACCAAACCGGCATTGCCTGGAGTCTAACCTGGAACGAACTACAAGTATTCAACAAGCAATCTTGAACCGTTCAATGACTGACGGAATTTAGACTGTAGTTGAACAGTTATATTTTTAAATAATATAAAGTAATATTAATGGATTTTGATTACATTTTGTATACATGTTAGATGAGCATCAGTTAAACACTGTACCCCTTCCTCTCAAAACTAAGTAAATAATTAATTAAATTGCTAGTAATTAATAATGAGGAATCTATATGTGTCTACGTTCCTTGCAATTGTGGGAAATCGGTGGTACCAAGAAGCAAGAAATTTTTAGCACACGTAATTCTACACTGGAACATGGACACGTCGAAGACATAATTTTAAATTTCCAGTGTGTTTTATATTGATTTCACATTTTGTACATATTGAATGAATTTTTGATTAGCGTACTCAACGACTTGAAAGCGAATAATAGCAACATTTTTCGAAATAAAAATATTTTTATATTCACCGAGCCAGACTGTAGCTATTCGGCAAAATGTTAGAAATTTATTTTTCAATTTTAAACAGTAAATTCGGCTATTTCAAATAAATTTGTTTCCCCTGCTTGAAATAAAACATTTTTATCTTCCACATGCTAACTTCTCGCCGTTCAGTAATGCATAATTTAGTCTATATGTTATAGCAGTCTTATATGCAAAATGTCAACGTTTCTGAGGCTACTTGTTTTTGAGATATGCGAGATAACATACGTACAGACGCCTCGAAAAACCTCTTTTGAATCCATTTTTAATCAGTTTTATAATTCGTTTGGGGAACAAGAATCCTTTATTCTGTCCTTACGTACAAGTGTGAGGTAAAAACATCGCTAAATTGCTTTCGATAGGGGTCAAAATGGACATTTTCGTTGAAATATGGTATCCAGAATTTTTCGTGATTACAATAGTTCCTTTACTTCGTACAAGGAAGTAAAAATCACGAAAGACAACAAAAAGAAAATAGTTTCTGAAATAATGTTTATCATTTTCACTTTTCGTAGCAAATATCCTTTAGGAGGTTTTTATTCTTATGGCATTTCTGTTTCTTGTTTTGACGTCATTGTTCACTCATCTCGACATCAAGCTATTGGTAGCAGTTATTCCTTGCTGCTGCTCGAGCTACTGTTATGACAAGGTGACATTTAGATGGCACTTATGAGAGATGACATACGTCGATTTTTCTGCTCGATTCGTACGATATTCATAACGAATTTTTTATGAATAACCCAAAAGAGTAATATTAAACTAAGTTTCAGCCTTTAATGTCGTGTATAAAGTATAACTTGTAGTAATATTGTAAGGATCCTTAGTTTTACTAACGTTTATTTTATTTTAAACTTTACTATCACTTCTTATTTTCTACTTCCGGCCACAATTAAACGCTTTAACTTATTTATACAAATTGTCTTGATAACGCCAAGTACTTAAGTTGTGGTTTTTTACCAAGCAAGAGAAAGGAAGGAGTTATTGGAAGCAAGCCGCTTGCCATTGTAGTTTTACGAGTTTTTACTCGGTTGCTGGTTGCCTTCAAGGCCAGAGGTTTAGTCCTCTTGATAATTTCAAACGTATCGTAGTTTTAGCAGCTCGGCGTACTACATACGGACCTTTGTTAAATAAAGGCCAATCTTAATGCTAGGCACTTGTATACTAATTCAAAGTTAGTTTTAATTAGAGTTTTAATTAGTAGTTTTTATATTCTTACGTTCAGACCACAAGTGGTTGGTCTCTGTATTCCGAAGTTCCGGAAATACCTGTAAAGATAGAAAAATAAAGGGTTTCGTACACCCTTCCTGCTTGTATTGTCTACTTCACACGTTCTTGAACATAGCTTGAGTAAGCTCCCTGTTCCGAGTCAGGACCATTCATGTTTCCAAAGCAAGTCAAGAGGAACACAAATCCTGATAATATTTTTAATTTGGTTTTATTTATGATTCTGTGCGAACTTAAGGAACTTTTGACTAAAAAACTCAACGATTTCAAAGCTTTCTGTTGCCACTCGGCAAAGGTTATGATTTCAAATTGAATCATAAAACTTGAAGATATAAAAGAGATATGTTGCCACCCGGCAAAAGTAAATATATTTGTCTTTCGAATTCAATCAACAAACTCAGCTATTTAAAAAATATGTTTTGCCAACACTCGAATTAAAATAGTTTTATCTCCCACGCGGTCAGTACGTTATCGTTCATCTGAGCATGAGACATTTAAATTTTCTTTCAAATTTATTCAGTTATTAATTTACAAACTAAGCGATATGAAAGTAATAAACATACATTCATGTTAATTGTTGTTAATTGCTAGCTGGACCTGTAAAATTGCATTACCAGGATTTGTTATATATTTTTTCATTTTTTTCAATAATTATTTTAGATGTCTCCCCGAACAAGCGGCTAATTAAAAAAAAAAAATCAAATATTAAAAGAAATGTGTTATCACTGTCCAAAATAAATTACTTTTATCTTCCACGCGTGCGTCAGTGTGTTACCATTCAGCCTTTCGTAAGATATTTAAATTTTCTTTCAAATTTAATGTCTCTTGTTAACTATCAAACTACGCTATTTAAAAGTAATAAACACAGTTCTTTAATTCTGTTTACTAGTCGAACTAGTAAATATATGTTTATTTGATTACTAGTAGGACTTAGTGACCCACCAGTTGCCGAGTAGTTAAGACCGTTAAATACTGATTGGCCTGGTTTACATTCGATACCAAGCAGACGTTTAAAAGAAACGTACATTCCAATAATAAACACGTAGTAATATGAGCATGACAACATCTAATAAGATAGCTTCATTTCTACTTCCTTTGTATCTCGAATCTCCGCCGTTATTGTCGTTGTCTTTGCTACTCTTTAGGCCTCAAATCATCCATAGATAGTGAGAGAAGACGAATACGCAACCGACTTTGTGAAATCGTACATTGGATGTCAGTTCGTGTTTACTTCGCTGGAATGGTGGTGTATTTAATTATGGAAAAGCACACTAGGGCTATCTGCCTAAGGAGAGGGATGCCTTCGTGGAGGACTTTCTAAGGGAAACTGGCTCGTATACACGTTACACATGCGGTAAACCAAAACACCCATGCAGCCAGCCCGTTCGCGGGATTCGAACCTCGGACCGAACTACCAGTGTTCAGCGACTTTACCGCTCGGCCGCTGGTGGGCTTCGCTGGAATGGAAGTGCTTCTTGTAATTCTGGTTTTTGGGCTAGCTGGCATAACGTTCAACATATAGAAGGGAAAGGCCCGGCGTTATCTTTCCAGGCAGTTTGCGAGGGTTTGTCTTTATTAACAAGACGAAACCACTATGTGGACGAATCCATTTTAAAATTTAGGGGAGCTGATTCTCTGAACACATTGAGAAAGGGAGAGGAAGGACGGAAATATTTTTGAAATTTTAAAAACCTGCGCAAAAGTGCTACGGAGGGAAATACGCAAATGCCGCATACTTTTAAGTTCGAGTAACTTTCTGTAACCGAGCGAAACTTGTGACATGAGCCAAGAAAGATGGGCTTGGCCTTTAACTCAAAAGTTAACTGTTTGTAAAGTTTGAGAATACTTTTTATTGTCTTAAATAACTGTGCATCAAATGCAATAATTCATCAAAGTACATGTTAAAGTAGCGCACCTATGGACCGCTAAAATCTGAACATTGAACTTGGACCAAATGGAACACTACCCTACCTAATTACCGCAGTACAACATTCACTACGTAATTAAAATATAACACCCTAGGTATCATAAAGCATATGCTATGCCAAAACCAACAAGCTTCTATAATGAACATAACCTCTTGCATTGTAAATAATCTGCAATAGTATGGTAATGCTATGTCTTAAGAGCATAACTTTTGCTTGTAAATGAATAATCTGATAATGCTATGTCCTAGACATAACTTTTGCATTGTAAATAATCTGTAATAGTATGATAATGCTATGTCTTAAGAGCATAACTTTTTCCATTGTAAATAATCTGTAATAATCTGATAATGCTATGTCCTATGAGCATAACTTCTTGCATTGTAAATAATCTGTAATAGTATGATAATGCTAATGTCCTATGAACCTAACTTCTTGCATTGTAAATAATCTGTAATAGTATGATAATGCTATGTCTATAGAACATAACTTCAAATAAGCATGATAAGCATGTATTCTTGTAAATAATATGTAATAGTATGATAATGCTATGTATAACATATTGCATTGTAAATAATATGTAATAGTCTGATAATGCTATGTTCTATGAACATAACTTCTTGCATTGTAATAAATGTATAATGATGCTATGTCCTATGAACATACTTTTGCATTGTAGTAATATGTAATAGTCTGATAATGCTATGTTCTATGAACATACTTCTTGCATTGTAAATAATATGTAATAGTATGATAATGCTATGTCCTACGAACATAACTTCTTGCATTGTAAATAATCTGTAATAGTATGATAATGCATGTATGAACATAACTTTTTGCATTGTAAGTAATATGTAAAGTATGTAATGCTATGTTCTGAACATAACTTCTTGCATTGTAAAAATAATGTAATAGTATGATAATGCTATGTCCTAAGAACATAACTTCTTGCATTGTAAATAATCTGTAATAGTATGATATTGCTATGTCCTATGAACATAACTTTTTGCATTGTAAAAATATGTAATAGTATGATAATGCTATGTCCTAAGAACATAACTTCTTGCATTGTAAATAATATGTAATAGTATGATATTGCTATGTCCTATGAACATAACTTTTTGCATTGTAAGTAATATGTAATAGTCTGATAATGCTATGTTCTATGAACATAACTTCTTGCATTGTAAATAATATGTAATAGTATGATAATGCTATGTCCTAAGAACATAACTTCTTGCATTGTAAATAATCTGTAATAGTATGATAATGCTATGTCCTATGAACATAACTTCTTGCATTGTAAATAATATGTAATAGTATGATATTGCTATGCCCTATGAACATAACTTTTTGCATTGTAAGTAATATGTAATAGTCTGATAATGCTATGTTCATATGAACAATAACTTCTTGCATTGTAAATAATCTGTAATAGTATGATAATGCTATGTCCTATGAACATAACTTCTTGCATTGTAAATAATATGTAATAGTATGATATTGCTATGTCCTATGAACATAACTTTTTGCATTGTAAGTAATATGTAATAGTCTGATAATGCTATGTTCTATGAACATAACTTCTTGCATTGTAAATAATCTGTAATAGTATGATAATGCTATGTCCTATGAACATAACTTCTTGCATTGTAAATAATATGTAATAGTATGATATGCTATGTCCTATGAACATAACTTTTTGCATTGTAAGTAATATGTAATAGTCTGATAATGCTATGTTCTATGAACATAACTTCTTGCATTGTAAATAATATGTAATAGTATGATAATGCTATGTCCTAAGAACATAACTTCTTGCATTGTAAATAATCTGTAATAGTATGATAATGCTATGTCCTATGAACATAACTTCTTGCATTGTAAATAATATGTAATAGTATGATATTGCTATGTCCTATGAGCATAACTTTTTGCATTGTAAGTAATATGTAATAGTCTGATAATGCTATGTTCTATGAACATAACTTCTTGCATTGTAAATAATCTTTAATAGTATGATAATGCTATGTCCTAAGAACATAACTTCTTGCATTGTAAATAATCTGTAATAGTATGATAATGCTATGTCCTATGTGTTGAACATAACTTCTTGCATTGTAAATAATATGTAATAGTATGATATTGCTATGCCCTAGAACATAACTTTTGCATTGTAAGTAATATGTAATAGTCTGATAATGCTATGTTCTATGAACATAATTCTTGCATTGTAATAAATGTAATAGTATGATATGCTATGTCCTAGAACATAACTTTTGCATGTAAGTAATAAGTATAGTCTGTAATGTGCATGTAAATAATATGTAATAGTAAGATAATGCTAGTCCTATGAACATAACTTTTTGCATGTAAGTAATATGTATAGTCTGATAAGCTATGTTCTATGAAATAACTTCTTGCATTGTAAATAATATAGTAATATATAGTAGAACATAACTTTTGCATTGTAAAAATACTTATATGATAGTGTGCTATAGTTGAAGCTATGCCTATGTAACTAGTTTGTGCGATACGTCTGCGTTGTTAGTGTTATGTCCTATGTTTACTGTAATCAGGTCCCGTGTGGAAGGGGCGATGCCAAAACCAACAAACTCTATAATGAACATAACTTCTTGCACTATAAATAATCTGTAACAATATGTTAATGCTATGTCCTATGTGTGGAAGTATGTTGTAACAGTATGATGTGCTATGTCTTATTTGTTGTTAGTACTATGCCCTATGTATACCGTAATCAGGTCCCCTGTGGAAGGGACGGTACGCTAGAGAGGTAGTGCATGGGGGCTATACCATTTTTGTCAATGGGGATGGCTTGGTGCCCCCTGTACTTGTTCCTGTCCTGTCCTGTCTTAAATAACTTTCTAATTTTCGTTTGATTATTATTCTAATACAAAAATTTCCTCATAGGGGACTTGATGAACGAAGACAATGTTCTCGCCTATCTGACTGATATTGAATCCATGGTACTTCCGGATGCTATTGAAGAGGTGAATGCAAAAGTGTTGCAGAACATCATAGACGAAACTGAGTTCGTTGCAGTTCTCTTTTGTAAGTTTATTCTGTTATTTAATGAATAATGAAGAATCTCTGTCTATATGTATATTTGTACGTATTTTCCTCGCATTGCGTAAAAAGGCGACACCTAGAGCTACCAAATTTTGAACACACGTAGTTCTCCAACAGCACATACGCACCTCAAAGCCCAAATTTGAATTTTGAATTTATTTTTGGTTTATTTCATAATTTGTCAGAATTTAAGACTCGTTTGATTAACGAACTCGGTTATTGCAAAGCAATGTGCTGCCGTTCTACAAAGCATGAGATGCTCATATTTCAAATTTAATCAGAAAACTCCGCGATTTAAAAGAACTATGTAACCACTTCCCGATATACAATATTTTTATCTTCCACGCTCCAGTGTTTATGTGTTCGTACGCCTTCACGATGTTTGCCGTGTTTCTCGCAAGAATTGGGTAAATTTTACAAGGTAATTAGTAAAATGAGTAGCAACGAATGTTTGGATGACGAAATGAGATGCAGAATTGTAAGTAGATTAAAGTTAGGCCTTCACGAATGCAGGTGGCTACAGAGCTTAATGTAAAGCCAGTTGTCTTTTACAGTTCGTAGAAAAAACAGTTTAAGGACACTTTACCCGTATCGAGGAATTCTAGACAAGATTGACCAATGTCCGCAACTATAAATGGGAATCGTTATTTAGCACTTTCACCGTAGGACTGCTACAGCTTCACAGCTGTCATGTGAGCTGTATGCTGCCTCTGGAACCTGAGTTTCACGGTCTACAGTTGTCCGAAGGCTTTATGGGATAGGTCTTTATACCAGAAGATCTGCTGTTTGCGTTTCTCTCACAATAGCACACAAGCATGGTGCAGGCAACATGCGCCTCGAACTGGACTTCAGTGGAGCGCCATGCGTCTTTACTTTACACGTGACTCGAGATTCATGGACAATGATTCTCGGGGTACCTGCTTCCGGAGAGAGCCTGGAACACGATACATTCTCTGTCTCCTTAGATGAAAAGATGATTACGTTGCTGGAAGTGTAATGATTTGGGCAGGCATTCTCTATAACGCTTCCCTGCATATGTCTGACAAAGGCTTCTGTATGCTAAACATGGTATATAGGATGGAGCTCCCAAAGGTCTATGTTGGGCTTTTCACAGGCGCAAATAGTCCTGAGTCCTGTTAATGGACGACAAAGCTCGTCCACATTGGACTCAACTGGTCGACGGTTATCTGGAAAATGAAGATATTCGCCGTATGGATTGAGTAGCCAGATCTCCTGACCTTTCCCTATAGAGACACGCTCTTTGGAGGGAAATTACATCTCACCATTCCCCTCCAAGAACCATCCTGAAGATGAAAACTGCATTGCTGCCCAATGGTCTGCTGTGCAGCAGGCCATCAAGTTGTGAGACTTGTCTGGCCGTGAGAAAGAGCATACCACATATCAAATTTATTTCCAGTTCCATATCTTCTCTCTCCTCTCTCACAGTGTAGATTTTAAACATCCCTGCACTATTAAATTTCTTGATCATCTTCCGTACATAAAATGACTTTCGAATGGTACATCTCTTTCTCTGCTCTAAATGTATATTCATACCAAATTTCATTAGAACCTGCCCGTTAGTTTTCGGAAATACAACATAATGTGCAAATTCTCTTAATTTTACACATGAGGGTATATCTCAATTTTCCCAAATTTCGCAATCCTCAATTTTTTTTTTTTTTTTTTTTTTTTTCATTTTTCAGTTTCGGTGTTTCAATTTACGCTTTGAGTACTTCAGTTTTTCAAGATGGGGATTTCTGAAAATTTTTAGTTACGATTATTCTTTAGAAACCGACATGCGCCTACTTGAAGATAATAGTAAGACTGAATTGTAATGAAATTTTTGTACTTACGTATTATCGCAACCAGGTTGACGCTATTTGTAAGTTTGAGTAAAAGAGTATGAACAGAAAGAAAATGTACATTTATTAATTACAGATAATTTTTAATACAGTTTTTTTATATTATTTTGTTTTAAAATAAAATAGCAATTAAAACCCTTCCGGTTTCGAATTTGAATAAGTTGCAGAATTATTTTTTTTTTTTTCGGCGGAAATCTTTTGGCTATTGCTTTTAGCACTGATTGAAAACCGTATTCGCCATAACCATGTACGCGTCGACTTATTTTTACTTAAAAAAACATCCCAGAATTGCACAAAAATGACATTGCGCACACTCTTGACTTTATTCATGTACACTGCTATTTTCTCATAAATTACAAAAATGTGCACGAAAATGCAGGAAAATTTTGTGAATCTCCACATGCTCTTTTTACAAAACTACGTATGACACGTAGGGTCGCCAAATTTCGCAATTTATGCGAATTTTGGCCTGGTTGCGTTAATACGTAAGTACCGAAATGTTCGACATATTAGGTCTAATCACCAGTATCAGCATTTGTTTTCCTAGGCGGTGTCTAAACTAAATTTAAAGACTGATACGTCACTGTGACTTTACTTTATACATATTTCACAGTTATGTGACCTATCGCGAGTCAGGATTTTATGTTGACTCTAAATGAAAAGACTGAAATGTGAATATTTCTTACCTATCCTATCAAGAAAGACTGAAATGGCAAGATGTTTAAAAAAAGCCTCAACTGGGATGTTTGAAATGAAACATAACCTTACCATTGCACTTAGAACTGCGCTCAGTGTTAAGTATATCAAGGAAAAAGTATTTTTAATGCAAATGGCGGAAATCGAATTTTCGGAAACTGTAATAAGAGGTGAGCCATCTGTACGTATAAGATATACATACACCAAAATATAGTCTTGAAACTCGAGATTGATATGTTGAAAATCAAACTGTTTCGGAAGTTTGCTATTCGACGAAAGTAGTGACACATTAAAGAAGAATGAACATTTGTGTGCCCCAGGTATTGCTAACATAAATGCTCTAAAATGCGTTGACTCATGCAAGACCCCCTGGAAATCGCTCTTACACACACAGTGGCATAGCTAGAGCTTTTGCCGCCCAGGGCGGTCTCTGATTTTGTCGTTCTGAGCAGTTCCTGAATTTATCCCTCCTCTTCATGGCCAGACAAATAAATATAAGAATGACATATCAGGAAATAAATTAAAACTATATTTGTTTTTACAGAAAAATTTTAATTCCAACGTTTTAAACTTTTATTATTATTTTGCTTGCTTTTGTCGTTTCTCAAAACTGTCGTTAGAGGTCGACTTGATTCCTCCAGTTGCTGTAATTGTAAACAGTATAGAAAGATTTCTTAAGTGGAAAATAAATATTTATATTTCTTAAACATTTTCTAAGTGATTTTTATTTAGAAAATTCTTCTCACAACCAGCAGCTCTTATAGCAGTTGTGAGGAAAGTTTGCAATAGTATTACGATACTTGGAATTTGTTTTGGAGATTTTATTTTAGAATAAACTGCAAAAATTCAAAACAACCGATTTCCCACGTTCCTGTTTCGTGTCCCGGGTATTAACGGAAATAAAACTCTTCAAATACTTTTCTCTTAAAAAGCGATTCTTCCTTAGTAATGTCGCCGTCATAATTCAGTTGACATTCATAATTTCTATGCAAAACTTTTGACGGAATAAAAACGGTTAACGAGGGCATGTAGCTGTTGAAACTCATTGAGGCTTTCTTTGAATACTTTACTTTATAAGGTATTCTTTACTTTATAAGGTATTTCTCCCACCTTCCTAGCGTGCCTTCGTGGTGTAGGGGTCAGCACACTTGAGCTGGTAGTTTAGAGGTCCGTGGTTCGATTCCAGGCGCAATTTTTCATCTATCTTGCGTCCAAAAATCGAAATGTCTCTACAGTGGTGCCCGAACTAAAAGGGTCGTGGATGATGAATCTCCACACCCAGAATTTCGCGATTGGGTTTCCTAAAAAACCCCAATAATCCTTTAAAAGGGGGAGTATATAAGATATATCTCCCACCTTCCTAGCGTGCCTTCGTGGTGTAGTTATCAGCACACTGAGCCGGTATTTCAGAGGTCCGTGGTTCGATTCCGGCAAAGGCGATTGCTAATTTTTCATCTCTCTTGCTTACAAAAATCCAAATGTCTCTACAACCTGGAGTGAAAAAAATGTTTCCCTCAATTTTAATTCGGTATGCTATTCAGAATCTCATTGTTTAAGCGCTTCTACCATTCGCATGATGGTAGAAGCGCTTAAAGTTTTTGGGGCAGCCCCAAAAATGTACCATCCCACTGCCTCCACCCTCCTATAGTTATGCCTTTGTACTCACCCCATCGAAAGAGGCTAAAAATGCACGATTTTTTAAAAAAGCCAGAAATAGGACATAACCAGTCAAGTGGCTTATAATAACAATTATAGCCGTTATTGTTCTAAGGCTATTCTTATGCATGTGACATTCTGTTTTCTATTTCAGATAAAAATGATTGCCAGGAGTGTGATGATGTTCTTCACGATTTAGAAGAAATTGATGACGATGCTGAGAAAAGCGGCATTGCGTTTGTGAAAGTCAGTGATGAAGCTTTGGCTCTTGAATTTGGATTAGAAACTCTGCCGGCTCTCTTGTATTACAGAAATAAAGTACCTCTACTCTACGATGGTGAGTTTATAAGGTATTTCTTCCACTTTCCTAGCGTCCTTCGTGGTGTAGTGGTTCTGCACGCTGGGCCGGTATTCCAGAGCTCCGTGGTTCGATTCCCGGCGAAGGCGTTGCTAATTTTTCATCTCTCTGGCTTCTAAAAAATCCTAATGACTCTACAGTGGCGCCCGAACTAAAAGGGTTGTGGATGATGATTCTCCACACCCAGGATTTGGCGACTAGGTGCCCTAAAACCCTAGTCACCCTTTAAAAAGGGGAGTATATAAGGTATTTCTCCCACTTTCCTAGCGTCCTTCGTGGTGTAGTGGTTCTGCACGCTGGGCCGGTATTCTAGAGGTCTGTGGTTCGATTCCCGGCGAAGGAGTTGCTAATTTTTCATCTCTCTGGTTTCTAAAAAATCTTAATGACTCTACAAATTTTACGTCTCAACTGCACTTCCATACAGAAAGTTTGTGCTTTGTTTTAGAGTGCTATATTTTGTTATGTCAATAACGACTTCCAGACGGAGTTGCTAAGAGTTTTATGATTAAGTGTTCTTAAGAGGTAGAGTAGAGAAGTAGCAAAATAGTTGCAAACAGTCGGTATAATCAGAGCGTTTGGAATGCTATCATCATACGATGATTTGTAGGTGCTTTATTTTTAAACTGCAGTATTTCCGCACGACGATATTTTAAAACTGCGAATTTTTTGTCCCATTTTATTTTCAACCGCGACGTTTTGCTCTCGCGATGTTTTCTACGATGACATTTTTCCTTTGCGTTGTTTCGTCGGAGGTATTTTTGTCCATCATATTTTCACATGAAACTATTAATTTACGTGCTTTGATTCGTAAACTTATTATACTTCTTTCTGTTACATAAATGATATGTTTCTGCTACTGAAAATATCGATTGATTCTTGAAATTGGTACAATTCTCATATTTTAGGAAATCTACACGACGAAAACCTGGTTCTGACTTGGTTAGAAGCTCATAAAGATTTAGATACCGATGTTATTGAAGACATATCAAGTACAATTTTACCCACATTAATAGAGAATACAACTTACTTAGCTGTATTATTCTGTAAGTACATAATTTCTGATTTTTAGATTTCATTTCATTTATTCTAGAGTCATATTTTCATCATTCATTTATTTTACCGATGTATTCTTGTCATCACATATTTTCATTTATAATGAAATATTTGGGATGAACTTAAAATTAAATATGAAAGTTATTTTAGATGATAAAAATGAGTTTCATCATTTGTTTATTTGATCGATTTATTGTTATTATGATATATTTTAATTTATCTTGAAATATTTAGGATGAACTTACGCACTATATACCCAACTTATTGTTAGATGATGAAACTAATACATTGATACGAATACACTCATGTCCATAAATTAAGGATAATGCAAAATCAGGTAAAGGAAGAGTTAGAAGAAAAACAAATTTGACTTATTTGTAAAGTTTATTTATTAAACAAAAGGTAAAGAGCAAAAAAAAAGATGCTGTATGTTTGATATTATTATAAAAATTAGCGATTTTTCTCCCTGGAGCAAATTAAAAAAAAAAAAAAAAACCTATTTACAAAAAACCAATATTGCATGGTTGGTATGATTGTTAATACATTGTATGTCTCCCAGACGATGCAATACAGTCCGTACAACGCCTAGGCATGCTGAGTATCAAATTATCGACTTGATCTTGGGGGATATTACACCAAGCTAAACCTGGACTCGTCGGAAAACATCACACAAGCTCACTGTTGCGGTGTCCACAATGCATGCTCTCTACTCCAGGCTAACCGCAGGCAACAGTGAGTTGCAGTAAGTGGAACGCATCTGACAGGTATACGAGCATATAGACCAATCTGCCCTAAGCGTCTGTACACGGTCTGCCTTGAAATTGTCGTACCAGTGGCTGAAGAGAGCTGACGAGACAGGTCTGAGGCTGTGCTCCGCCTGTTTCTTTTGGCAGTAACTGCCAAATACCAGTTCTCATTCGGCGTTGTAACTCTGGAGCGACCTGTGCTATAACGTCTGCTTCACATTACCATCATCTTGGAATCGTTGCCAAAGCCTGGAGATGACACTCTGGGCAATTCCAAGTTCGTCTGGTACTTCCAGTTGGGTACGCCTACATTCCAGACGGCCGATAATTCTACCACGCAAAAAATCACCCAAATGCGTCCTTTGTGTCATAACTATTCGGTTATTGCACTGAAATGCTTATAAAGCGCCTGCGAACAATTTTACTTTTTTGCCTGTATTCCTTATATATCACTCTCTTACACTTTCGTCATTGTGACGTACCATCGGTGTCATCTGGTTACTTCCGGAAATTTGCATATGATTCTTGAAGATGTGCGTAGTGATTTTATAGGTGATATATTTATTTTAGAGTTCGATTTCCGCGTGACTCCGAATTATCCTTAATTTATGGACATGAGTGTGCATTCATAAGATAAATAAATGATGAAAATGATTTTCATAAATAAATAAATGATGAAAAGGATTTTCATCCTTTATTTATTTTATCAATTTATTGTCATCGTGATATATTTTGATTTACTTTGAAATATTTGGGAAGAGCTTAAAAATAAATGCTTAATTTATTTTAGATGATAAAAATGATGAGAAAAGCCAAACTACTTTACTGGATCTGGAAGCGATTGATGACGACACCAGTAAACACGGAATTCCCTTCGTCAAAATTGCTGACTTGGAGGTTGCCTCGCTTTATGGAATTGTCGAATTACCCGCCCTTGTGTACTTTGAAAAGAAAATTCCAAACTTCTATCAAGGTATGTCATTATTTGTATTTAGAGTTTAACACGTTGAGAGCCAAGCGTATTTCTTAGGCAATCCCGTTCAGGCCACGCGCGCCGCTTAAAAGCGCTGGTATTGTAGCGCCAGCGATTCTTATCGCAGTAGAAGATAGTTTACGTTTGGAACGTGATTTCTATAGGCATTCATTCAACACGTTACGCGCCAAGTCTGTTTTGTAAATAGTTACATTCTATGCAAAGATATTACGAAGCAGAAAATTAGCATTACTGAAGTCCGGAAAGAATGAGCGCTATCCCTTACAAGTTGTGAAAAAGGAGATATTCCATCGAACAGAAAGGCAAGAATATCTAAAAAAAAAAAAAAAAACAACAGCATAAACTCCAAAGAAAACCGGAAAAAGCCTCTGAAGTACGGAAATATTGTAAATTATGTTGTGATAAAAATGCAACTGAAGCTGGTAGAGTAATGGCCAGAAAAAAAGACTAAGACAGTTGTCCCAAATTGTAACAGCTGTAATGGAGAACCGTTTTTATGCTTACCGTGTTTCAATGAAATCCATTAGTCCTGTAATGAATCAAAATTAAGTAAATTTTAAATAATTTTTCTCTTATTCCATAAAACAGTGTAAATTGTATAGTTATGTATCATGTTACACGCTGACAGCCGGCGGCGGTCGACGCGGCCTAAACGGAAAGTCTAGTATCAGCCACAGATGGTTGACGCGGCCTAAACGGAAAGTCTAGTGTCAGCCACAGATGGTTGACGCGGCCTAAACGGAAAGTTTAGTATCAGCCACAGATGGTTGACGCGGCCTAAACGGAAAGTCTAGCGTCAGCCACAGATGGCTTACGCGGCCTAAACGGAAAGTCTAGTGTCAGCCACAGATGGCTGACATGGCGCTCAACGTGTTAATGAGGAGAAGCTATCTGTGCCTCATATTATTTGAAACTCTTAGTAGAATAGTGAGTAGTGAATAGATAGTAGTTATATAGTAGAATAGTGAGTAGTGAAATCTTAGGATTAGGATTAGGAACGGGGGACGTGGGCACCATCCCTTTACCGTTATGGTTAATTGGTTTAGCGCCACGTCCTCCAATATCCAGAATAAGGCCACACGTGAGACTCGCACCAGACGCCCAGACCCAGCACCCTATTCATCCGGGTAGCAGTCCAGCCGACCAAAGTGCTCCCGAGGAATACTCTAAGCCAAAATACCAGGTCCAGTGTTAATTTGTTTCCAGGAATAAAAAGTACAGTGCCAAACAAAGGCAGAATCTTTACATAGGTTAACATACAATTACATAGTTGATCACAATAAGATTATAGAATTATGACATTAAAGATACCTGGTTATCCGCCAAACAGTAGGTCTATTACAATAACATACATATGCAAAATTTGTTTAATAGTAGTAACAATTTGTGCGGCTACTCGTATTTGACAAATTACCTTTTAAATATAAACCTTACAATTGCACTTATATATGTCATGTTGTTTAGATATATATTACAAAATACAAATATGCAGACATTGAAAATGAGTTATAACAATTAATACATTATTCTGCAAATTAAGGGCTATTCACTTTGTACATATTACTGTTTGAAATTTAAATCATACATGATGCTGCAAGGATACAATACATATACTTAACTTACCATTACATATACACAAACACATACACATGTAAACTCCTGTTAAGAGTATTAACAATTTGTACAGATTATGGGCTACACGTGTTTGGCGTATTACCTGTTTTTAAAAATAAGTTTTACAATTACACTTAATTATGTCATACAAAATGGTGAAAGATTACGAAATACAAATTGCAATTATTGATAATGAGTAGCAGCAGTTTTATACATTATTCTGCTGATTATGAGCTACTCATTTTTACATGTGACCGTTTTAAGTTTAAATCCTTCAAGTACATTCATGCATTGTAAATTCAAAACGCACAAAATGCTACTTAGAAATATTACAATTACTTAATCAGTCATTGCATATACATATACCAAATCATATGTTAACTTTTTACTAAGTATAGGGACAATTTGTACAGATAATGGGCAATTCGTATTTGACATTTTACCTTACAGGCACTTAAAATCTTACAAGGACACTAATTTGTGTCATACAAATTAATTAAGAAAATATTATACAAATATGTAAACATTGATAATGAATAACGACATAATCAGTCATTGCATATACATATACCAATACATATGTTAATGTTTTGCTAAGTAGAGCAAGAGAGTGCTTTGTGATACTTTATAGCACCACCGCCACATGGCAATTTTACATTATAATGACTGAAAATACGAAATACCACTCATATATACCGCACACATTGAAATGGTTTTTTGTAATTGGGATAAGACGATGTGCTTACTCATAAATTTTCAAACCTTTTGACAGATGCAATACAATTATTTATATATTTGCATGCTATATTATACAGAGCTTTTACATTAATTGAGTATACATATATACTTAATTTTAACATGTATTTGCATAGAAATTGGACATAGAAACATGAACATTGGACATACGGAAACATAGAACATTGGCTATACACAAAAATTGCACGTTAAATCTTTATAAAACATGATACTTAATCATTACCTCTTAATATAATGCGCAAGGTTATTCATGCACCATACCAGTTACTACTTAAAAGGAACATAATATTCAAGCAAAACCATAGTTGAAATATTGATACACATATTATTCTCAATTGTAACATTAGTATCCTAAAAGAAAAACACTTATTTTTGTTTCATTATATTACTGCTAATAGAAATTGTTACTGTTAAATAATACTGTACCATAAAATACTACATAATTATATTACGCAATTAGAACTTAATATCGCATAACTTAAATACATTACATTCATTGCACATTACAATTATTCTTGTTATCTCAATTAGAACATAATATTACATAACTTAATTTAATATTCAATTAAACATCGAACAACTTAATATCTAAAATTGTTCAATTAAAACATAGTGCCACTTAATAGATTTGCATACACTTGGACTGATATGTTGTTACGTAATTCCATTACTACATAAGAAAATTGTTCAAAATAAAACTACTTTAAAGTTAGACATACTGATATTGCTTTACAGTGTTACAAGTGCTTTAACGTTGTTTCCGAGTATACATTCCATTGTCAAATGAAACATGATACTGCATAGGTATATTATATACATATAGTATGGAACTTTTACTAAATATATTTGCATCACATTAGTTTACATAGTACCTTAGTACGTATTAGAATGCATGGCTTGGCATTACAATTGTATATAATATATACTTAAGTTTTTATATTGTCCATGCATGGGCACGTATATGTAGCATACTGTTCCTTATCGATTATACATATATATATATAAGGTGCATATAATTGCAAGACTGCATAGTTCATGCTTTAATGTTCGATCATAAAGCATGTAGCATATATTGACATCCCATGTAAATGTTGCAGCTACATATAATACATATAATCAGTTGCTGTACTGACCCGTTAAGCACTCTGGCATAGATCAGTACCCAGTGAGGAGAGCTTTGACATTATAACACAAATTTTACGAACCAGATGCCTTTGCTTTATTAGATATTTACAATAGGCTTGTGTATTAGTAGATGGAATTAAGAGATGTTGTCCAGCAGTGAGCTGGCAGCTGGTAACATAGTGTTCGGGTGTGTGCCTTGTAAGCCACAAACACACATATCTGAGTTACTACTGATTCTATGTCGCGCGAAAAAGGTCGGAAAAGGACCATGGCCACTTATGTATCTAATCAACAAAGGGTTGCCTATATTTCTGTCTGGGTCGACATATGCAATGTGGTATGCTGTTCTTCGTCCAGTAGGACTGGAGTCCCACTCTTGTTGCCACTTCGATATGGCACGTAGTCTGGTAATTCTCTTGAGATGGGAATATGGCCATGGTATGGTAAGATTGAGAACATTTGAGTTGACAGCTGCTTCCTTAGCCATCTTATCAGCAAGCTCATTACCAGCATTGCCGACATGGGCCTTAACCCATTTGAAATAATAATTTTTTCTTTGATGATCCCTAAGAGTGCGCTGAATGTCTTGGATAATGGTAGATCGGTGGTCGGGATTGATTAGTGCATGTAAAGAGGACAAGCTGTCTGTGAGAATGATGCCTGTGGGTATTTTCATATTAATTAGGTAATCTATTGCATGCTTTATTGCTACGACCTCGCTCTGGAAACACTATTGTTAGATTGCAAATGTGCTTGCCAGGTATGAATTACACCATTTTCAGTGGTAACAATGAATGAGCAGCCCACATTATCTTCTATTCTGGAACCATCTGTATAGATTTTTACATTGCTTGCTGGCTCATCCTCGGCAGTATTGGAGAGAATTTTGACTCCGATGCCTTTCAGCGCGGGATGCACGGCAGTAGGAAGGACTAATTGTTCGTATTGGTCCACTTGATAAGTAAAATCATCATAGGTAAGTTGTTTACGAAGGTAGAATAGTGAATTAAGTCAGTTGGTGCACCAACTTCATTGTCTTTTCACCCACTAGGACCGAAAGTTAATGTGTTTTCCCACGGCTCGACTTAGTCTAATTGCGGCCGATGCAAAACTTTCTTTGGGGGCCTCCCTCTGCTTCACTACTTCCGTAATGAAGAACCGAACTTTATTGAGGCATTTAAATTTTTCACTTCTATCATTAAAACGATATAGCAAATCTGAAGAGCCAAAATTTGACAAAAATGCTATTTAAATTTATAGTTAGAAAATGTAAAGACTTTTTTAGCAATTTGAATTAATTAACGAAAGATACCGTAGACAAACAGTTAAGATACCGGTTGCAATCATCGCTACGATACTACATTCGATATTTCGGAAGGGATCCAGGTAAATTTTCACAGTCTTGCAAATGAAATTAATTAATGAAAAGAATATTAGACATTTTGTGAGTATTTTAAGAAAATACAACTTATAATTGATTATTGTGATATCTCAGTGTTGCAAAAATCCAGCAGAACCCACTGGACACGATGTAACTGAATTTTTTGCGGTTGCGATTAAGATAAACTAGTTAAGAGGCATATTGTTGCAATTTGTGAACTTTTCACAAGTTTTCGAAATGCTGTTTTCTGATTGTTAACTTTGTCATCTTGTAGAGTCATTAAGATTTTTTTTAGGGGCAGAAAAGATGAAAAATAGCAAACGCCTTCGCCGGGAATCGAACCACGGACCTCTGGAATACCGGCCCAGCGTGCAGAACCACTATACCACGAAGGACGCTAGGAAAGTGGGAGAAATACCTTATAATCTAGCCGCGAAAAATTCATATCCTTGTTGACATTACGATGGAATTCAGCTACATTTTCGCAATTACGATGGCTCAATTAAGCCAATCAAAAGCTAGTATTTTTGTAAGCATATCGTATTTTGTGCTATGTAAAAATACAGGCTTTTGATTGGCCAAATTTGTCTATCTTAATTGCGAAAATTTAGCTGAATTTCGCCATAGAAAGCCACAAATTTATGAAATATACATTTTTTGTATTCATGCGATAGATTAATGAAGAAGGTAACATAAAAGTGGCAGATTTTACAGTGTACTGATATTTTGTTGTATTGATATTTAAAAAAAGTTCATTAAAGAAGGAAACGTAAACTTTCCATTCGATTTGGGGGCCTCTTCTGAACTGGGGGCCCGGGGCAATTGCCCCATATGCGCTTACCTTAGTCAGGCTCTGCGTTTTCCCACATCCCGTAGGACGGAGTCTTCATTTTAAATAAATTCATTACATAGAAACATTAAAAGTTATACATTTAGAAATTTTAATACCGTGCATTTTATAACGTTTTTGAATTATAAATATATATAAGAAATATTTCTCTTTGGAAATCGCAGAAACATCTTTTTTCATACACAGCTTGTTTACATGCGACATTTTGAAAGAAGAATCCATTTAAAAATAGTAGAGAATCTTTCTCAAATCAAAATAATCTGTTTCTAGAAAGTTTAATTCCAAAACATTTCTTTTGTTTTAATTCTTTATTGAAGTAGTCCTAAAAATATGTAAACATCCTCTGTATGTAAGAATCTTTCTATTTTTTTCTTGGATTACTTAATCAATTTGAAATATTTAAATAGTTAAAATATCCCCTGGAAAACTTATGAGTCAACATACTATGTCACACAAGAATATTCTAGAGTTCAAAAAGGATGATTCTGAATGCAAATGTACTTTTAGTGATTAAAATGTATTTTAGTAATTTAAATCTACTCAATAGTTCTTTGCTTTGGGTTTTTATTGTAGCATCTTTTCTATATTTTAATCCAATGTTTCATTTGTAGTTTTATTGTTTTCTGATAATTTTTTATATTTTTTTAGGAGATTTAAATCATGAAGAGGTTTTAAAGTGGCTGATATTTCAGAAAGAATCCGACGAGATCGAAGATGTTACTAATAAAGTCCTCACTCAGATGATCAAAACAACAGATTATCTTGCAGTTTTATTTTGTAAGTATAAAATTTATTGCATTTGATTTTTTAATTTAGATAACATAGTATGCGAATTATACAAGCTTTTATATATTAATAATTTCTTTTGCCGTCATTTGAACGCACTTTCGATTATGTAAGTTACAGAATTTTTACTTCCTTTTACGAAAACGTATTATTGAATTGTAGTTTCCAAAATTTCGGGTATCATAGTTCAACGTAAATATCCATTTTGACCGCTCCAGAATCCATTTGAATGATTTTTTTACGTGATGTCTGTATACGCAACAGAATATAGGACATTTGTTTTCCAAAACTGATTGTAAGATGGATTAAAAAGGGATTTTTTATCCGTGATGTCTTTACGTACGTGCGCACTTTTGTATCTCGCATAACTCCAAAAAAAAAAAAAAATGCCATTGAACGTTCAAATTTTGTATGTAGGACTATTACACAATATAGGTGTGCACCTCCCTTTTTTATTCAATCCGCCTCACCAAAAGTGTATACATTTTTGTTCTTATATCTTGGCAAATCGGGTATTTTTTGCCTTACAAGGGATTGAATTATGTTCTTCTTAATCTCCAATTAAGGTTTTTATGCCTTCAGTTAATCTGCATGCAACAGTTGTAGAATTATCAACAATGTAAAAGTGTATGTGGAGCTTAGGCCAAACGTTGCTGCTGTTTGTTTGCGTTTGAAACACTTAACAGCATTGTGAATTCAGTTGATGCACCAAATCAGTGTCTTTTTGCCCAATTGGACCAAAAGTTAGCGTTAAATTTGTGTGCATCGAAAATTTTTATCTTTTTGCTCGTTGGTCTAATTGGGCCCACCAGCGGCCGAGCGGTAAAGACGCTGAACACTGGTAGTTCGGTCTGAGGTTCGAATCTCGCGAACGGGCTGGCTGCATGGGCGTTTTCGTGGTTTTCCCCATGTGTAACGTGTATACTAGCCAGTTTCCCTTAGAAAGGCCTCCACGAAAGGCATCCCTCCCTTTAGGCAGATAGCCCTCGTGTGGTTTGCCATAACTGAATAATCCAATCCAATCTAATCCGTTGGTCTAATTGCTTGTTTTGACGTAAAAGCTCTAATTTTAATTCTAATTTTTTTTTTTTTTTTTTTTTTTTTTTTTTTTTTAATACTGTTTTTAACTGTATTTCGTGTTTTAGATTTTTCTGTGTGATTTTTAATGAACTTATTTTGAATTTTTATGTAATTTTTCCTTATTGCGAAGTGAGAACTGAATTGATTGAATGAGAAACAGATCTCTAATGAAATTCGAGGAAATACGTTTAAATGAAATGCAGCAAAAAAATGTGTATAATTTAATAGGCCGTACAAAGAGGTCATGTGTTCACATCAGATTTTTATTGTATGAATTTATTGTTGATGAATTATGAAACTATTGAAATTTAAACTGGTTAATGGGAAGAATAAGGAGCACGCGACATTTGACGATATCCGTGTTAGATAATGGTTTTATTACAGTAACCCTATTATTTCGTTATGATTTTATTTTGACAAACTTGTATGGTTTTATAACTGGAATCAATGGGATTGTTGGATATTAGAATATTAATAATGCATATAATGTAATTTATACATTGTTTAATGACGCGATGCCGAGATTGTTTGTGATGCCAAATTCATGCAATTTTCTGTTTTTAAGCGAAAACAGATCCCTGTGTACATGGGAAGGAAACGAATAATGCAATAATATAATATAATATATATAATATTTCATGGGCGCGATTTCGAGTATGTGGAATTCTCTGATATTTTTAAGTGATAACAGACAGCTATGTAAATGGGAAAAAAACAATAATGCATATTAATATATTCAGAGCCGTATTAAGGCTTTTAGAGGCGCCCTAAGCACTCAAAAGATTTTGGAATTCAGCCCTGAATATAGTGCTTAATATGCGCAATGTAAAGACTGAGAGCATGTCAAGTTTATGCAATTCTCTAGTCTTTTTAAAGTGAAAACATATCACACTGTATATGGGAAGATAGCACACTCATCGCAAAACCGGTATCGTGCATTAAACATTATATGTTAACAACAAGATCAATTTTCGCCAAAAGCGCATTACATATAATCGTGCCGTATATCTGCGCAATGGCAAGACTGGGCGATGCCGAGTTTGTGCAATTCTTGAGTTTGTGCAATTTAATGTAGAGTAAAAATATAAAAAATAATATTATGAAAATATATTAGTATATGCATCACTACTTTGCATTTGTTATGTCATTGCTGTAACCGAGTTCTTCGAATTTGAGTGACTCTCTTCATTTTCCCTCGATTTTCGGACTGTCAAATTAGTTTAAAAAAGTGAAAAATGCGGAGAAGTACGGTATGCATTGGAATAAAAAGCGGATTACTTCCAGATAATAGTCATATTTATTTCAAATTACCTTCTCAAACTTTTATTTTTAATGTAGTGTTTTTTTTTAATGTAGAGTAAAAATATAAAAATTCATGCATATATATATATATAAATATAAAAATTCTCTGGTGTTTTTAAGTGAAAATATTAGCTCGTTGTGCAGATGGGAAGAAAACAGTAATGTATATAATATATATAATGTTTAATGTGCATACCAAATTTGGAGATTCTCTGATGTTTTCTTAAGCGAGAACACATAGCTATGTTGCATGGGAAGAAATATTGTAGTGTACCGTACATCATGCAGGATATGTAATGCATCACTTTTGCATTTTTATATGCATCATTGCATTAACTGAAAACTGTATTTTTAATTATAATTTTTTCCCCTGAGATTTTAAAAAGTAACTGAGCCGGATTTTGATGTGTCTGGCTCAGTTACAATCAGGTATCGCCTCATTATCCATCCGATACTGTAATATTACGATCAATATGTATTCTTTTAAAGAAATAATATTATGAAAATATATTAGTATATGCATTACTACTTTTCATTTATTATGTCATTGCTGTAACCGCGTTCTTGGGAATTTGAGTGACTCTCTTCATTTTCTCTCGGTTTTTGGACTGTCAAATTAATTTTAAAAGAAGGAAAAATGCGGAGAAGTACGGTATGCATTGGAATTAAAAACGGATTACTTCCCGATAATAGTCATATTTATTTCAAATTATATTCTCAAACTTTTATTTTTAATGTCAGAGTTTCAAGTGAAAACAGTTCGCTGTGCATCTGTTTGTCTTGTTTTTGATGATAGTGATGAGTAAGACTACATGTCGAAAGAGTTCAAAAATATAATTTTGAGCTCATGTATAGTAAAATACTGGTTCTTAAATTTTTAAAGTTGTAAATATCTATATAAAGAACAAGTTAACGAAAGCTCAGGCAAAGTAGAAAGTTACTGAAAGTATATGTTGGTTAATCCGATCGCGGTTAATGTTATTCGCATATATTTATCGAATTGGCAAAGCATACCAAAATATAGAAAATGCATTCTTTACTGTAATCAATAATTCGGTTAATACGATCAAAATATTATAAATTTTTTAATGTAATATAAAGACAAAAAGATTTTAAAAAATTGCTAAGTTACAGAGAAATGTCACCGAGTACGGATTAAGTCGCCAAATAGCTTGGTCTCGATTTTTATGAGCCATTTAAAACTAGGCAAAAATTAAAAAAACTTAATTTGACGCAGATTTTCAGATACAGACGCATTGATACAGACTCCTCTTCTTCGAGAGGTAAATAACATCTGCATAATGAATTTTCTTTGGAAAAAAAAAATTCCTAGGAAACATTTCCGCCAAACTGAACTTGCTTTACTGCACGGTTTTACATTTTAGAATTGAAAGGTCTGTTCCGGTGAGGGGTACATCATCGGTCGATGAAATCATGAAAGATTATGAACTGTTCATAAATGAACTAAACCTTATGCACAATTCATAAACAAGCCTTTGCATTTTCCTAATTGAAACGCTGTGAAAGTGCCTGTTTTATATTTCTTGATGTTGTTATATTAAATTAGTTGAATTCTATGGCTATTTTGAAGAATACTTTTCTTTTATTGATTTAATGTTATTTTTCGGTTAAAGTTATCAAAATAGCTGTGGACAAACATGATCACATTAAGTGGCGCCGACTGTAATATTAATTTTCGACAATGTTTATTGAGTTTTCACGAAGCAAAACATGCTCTGTAAATGATCAAAAATGGAAAAATATACATGTCTTAGTATATTTTAGGGCGCCATCAACAACAAAAATAGCGGCAAAAAGAATAGAAACAGCAACAACAGTAAGAGCAGGAACAAGCAACAGCTATAGCAGCAAAATAAGAACAGCAACTACAACTACAGCAACAGCAGTAGTAGCAACAATAATAATAGCAACTACAGCCACAGCAACAACAACTACAAAAACAGTAATAGCAGCAACAACAACAGCAGCAAGAACAGCAACAGCAGGAACAGGAACAACTACAGTAATAGCAGCAACAATAATAACAGGAACTACAGCAACAGTAACAACAATAGCAGTAACAGGAACAACTACAGCAACAACAGTAGTAGCAATGATAACAGCAACAACAGTAGTAGCAATGATAACAGCAACAACAGTAGTAGCCATGATAGCAGCAACAACAGTAGTAGCAATGATAACAGCAACAACAGTAGTAGCAATGATAACAGCAACAACAGTAGTAGCAATGATAACAGCAACATCAGTAGTAGCAATGATAACAGCAACAGCAAAAGAAACAGCAACAACATCATGATGATCATCATCAACAACAACAAAACAGCAACAAAAATAATAATATTGTTGCGTGCGTACGGGTTCGTTATGAAATGAATGCACAAGTCCGATGAAAAATGAACAAAAATTTATTATTATCACAACAAAAATGCTTAAATTTTCTCAAATTATCATGCAGTATTACAATATCTCACAGTAGTTATCTTTTAACTACTCAAATATCCAATAGAACGTAATTCAAAACAGCTAAAGAACGCTAATCCGCGAATTCGCTACAATCAACAACAGTAGTTTTCTAAACAACAACAACAAACTAAGCAACTACTACAAACTGAGATGTTTTCCCCTCCTTTTATAAGATTTTTAAAATCACGCGCTAGAATTTTCCAGTACTTTCTCGAAATAAAAAGAGATATTTATTTATTTAATGCACGCGCTCTTGTATTTTCAATTTTCCGGCTTAGCTTTCTTTTAATATTCGTCACGCGCTGCACTGCGCGAGAAATAAAACCATTTAATTTGTAATTGAACTAACATTAGCTTTTTAAATACCAAATTCGTAACACTGCCCCCTTCCCAAGGACTGCACGTCCCGGGCAGTACAATCCCTGGAGAGGAAGCTAAACTTACAACTGTGGCATAAATGCATTAATAAGCATTACATTACAATAATAACAACATGAACAATAAATGCAATACATAAAACAAATCAAATGCTATCAAATACAAATCAAATACACATTTAAAAACAAAAATGGACCATGGTCTTATACTATTTACAATATTTACATTTACTATGTACTATGGCCATAGTAAGCTAACCTGTCGTAAGAGTTCGAAGACTCACGGATCCGAACCACGACGTCATTCGTGTTCAGCACTGTATATGGACCATCCGAAGGTGACTGTAATTTAGGACTCAGTCCTTTTCGTTGAATTGGGTTCCACAACCACACCTTGTCTCCTTTGTTGGATCTCTGTCTAGTAGCTCTTGTGTCACATCTGGTCTTCACTTTCTCCGTCGCCAAGTTGACTCGCTTTCGTGCAGAACGGTGCATCCCCTCAAACCGGGCCTGGACATTTTGGATGTGTTCCTCAGGCGATGAAGGCGCATCCGTACGGCGAGCAAACAGGCGGTCACAAGGCAGACGAAGGTCTCGACCGAAGAGCTTCTGAGATGGAGAATAGCTGGTAGTCTTGCGTTTCTTTTCGACCCTAGCATGATTTCGGCGGCTTCCCAAGCTGGGTCTTTCGGACAAGGCGTCGGCATTTCCAAGTGAGGATCTCTTCTGAGGATGGATAGTCATGTCACCAGATGCTGAAAGCAGTTTGTTGTTTTTGAAGTCTAAGGAAAAATTGTATTTCCTTAAAAAGTCCAATCCGAGTATGCATGGATCTGTGATATCCGCCACATATGCCGTGTGATGGTAGGCGGCACTTCCAAACGTGATGCTTACGTTTAACTTCCCAGTTATGTCGATCTTATCACCAGACGCAGTCTGAAGGGTAACACAGGATGGCGTCCAAATAAGTTTATCTTTAAACTGTTCAGCTAAATCTTTAATCTTTCCTAATGATGGTAACATTAGCTCCTGTGTCAATGATCATATCGCAAGGAACTCCATCGATATTCCCATTGATGGACATTCCGTTACTGTTGCCACTCACTGTATAAATTTTAAGAGCTTTAAAACAAGGTTTTTCATTATCTGACAACCTCCGTTCCTCGATATGGTCACTAATTTGTTTACTGCGTCGTTGCTGGGAAATGGTCTTATTTTCCGTACCTCGGGATGTTCTGCAATTTCTTCGTATGTGGCCTTCAACTCCGCAGTTCCAGCATTTTAGAATTAGTTTCTTTTCACTTACGTTCCGTCTCAAGCCACTGACTTGTCTGGTAAAATCATCTGCTTTATATTCCGTACCCTGGGGGTGTTCTGCAATTCCGTCTTAGGTGACCTTCACTACCACATCTCCAACACCTTAGAGCCACTTTCTTCTCCCTCCTACTCCGTATCAAATCGTCGACTTGTCTGGCTAAATCATCTAAAACGAGCCATCAGTTGATCCACTGGCTCATGGACTTGCACAGCTCTAACTGGGTAGCGATCTCTACTAGTTGCTTGCTGGGCTGCCTCGAACTTCATGGCGTACAACAGAGCGGTTTTTATGTCCTTTACATCTGCCATTCGAAGAGCTTTCTGTATTTCAGGATCCCGGATGCCGTCGATGAAATATTGCAGCGACAGGATTTCTCTTGTTTCTGTCGGGCACTCCGAAAAGGCGTGATGTGACAGCCTTTCAACTTACGTGGCGAGCTCCTGAAGTGTTTCGGTAGGCTTCTGTTGACGAGATTTTAATTGGAGCCTGCTGTAGTCTTTTAAACACTTCTCTTCAAAGCGCAACTCCAAGGCGCCGGACAGAGCTTCGAAATCTAACCTTTTGTTTTCGGGAAGAGTCTGACGGATATCCGCTGCGTCGGCTCTTAGAGAAGCGGCGAGATGACAAGCCTTAGCTTGGGAATCCCATCCATTCGCATCTGCCACGATAGAAAATTGTGTCTTATACACCTGCCAGGAGGTCTTCCCATCATATGTAGATAGCTTCAGAGGTGGACGAGCAGGCATTGGTAAGAATTTAAAATCATCACTCCTGCTCCCTGCCGACGCTACGAATTTCTTTAAAGTATCCATTTCTTTGGCAACTGCAGAAACTCTCTCATCAATTTGTTGTTCGATTTGGTGTTGGACGGCACAAACTCTTCCTTCAATTCGTTCCTCCTCCACAGCAGAAACTCTCCCTTCTATGTTCTTTTACAGAAGAAACTCTTTCTTCTATTTCTTTCTTCTTTCACCGAAGAAACTCTTTCTTCAATATGATCTTTTACGGAAGAAACTTTTTCTTCAATATGTTCAACTTTATTTTCAACTGCGTCAATTCTGCCTTCCATAGCTTCAAATTTATTTTCTATTATGCAAGTAATTTCTCTTTTCATTTCTTCTTGACCAGCTTGAACGGCTTTCATTTCGTCGTCTTAACGGATTCTTGGCCCATTTCATTCTTCTTCCTTAACGGATTCCTGGCCCAATTTCATTTCTTCCTTAACGGATTCCTGGCCCAATTTCATTTCCTCTTTAATTTCTTCTTTAAAAGATGTTTGGCCAGCTTCCATCTTTTCTTGTACAGCTTTTATATCTTCCTTAACGGAGTTGACGGCTCCTTCCATCTTTTCTTGGAAAGCAGCAAATGCAGTCATCATTTGCCTGAATTGTTCTTCCATCGCTCTTGTTATTGGCATTCAAATCTCACTTCTGACACCAAACATTGTTGCGTGCGTACGGGTTCGTTATGAAATGAATGCACAAGTCCAATGAAAAATGAACAGAAATTTATTATTATCACAACAAAAATGCTTAAATTTTCTCAAATTATCATGCAGAATTACAATATCTCACAGTAGTTATCTTTTAACTACTCAAATATCCAATAGAACGTAATTCAAAACAGCTAAAGAACGCTAATCCGCGAATTCGCTACAATCAACAAGAGCTGTTTTCTAAACCACAACAAACTAAGCAACTAACTACAAACTGAGATGTTTTCCTTTTATAAGATTTTAAAATCACGCGCAAAATCACGCGCTAGAATTTTCCAGTACTTTCTCGAAATCAAAAAGAGATATTTATTTATTTAATGCACGCGCTCTTGTATTTTCAATTTCCCGGCTTAGCTTTCTTTTAATATTCGTCACGCGCTGCACTGCGCGAGAAATAAAACCATTTAATTTATAATTGAACTAACATTAGCTTTCTAAATACCAAATTCGTAACAATATTATTTAAGCTTGCCATGGCCCGCAGAAAAGGACCACATGATGGACCATCTTTCAGCCTCTTCTGTTTTAAAATTGCGTTATTTTCTTTGCTCAGATGTATTTTTTTCCTTTTCAGATGACAGCGGTAGCAATGCCAGTAGGACAGTACTCCAGGAACTGGAGGGAATCGATGACGATTGCGATCAGCATAACATACCATTCGTCAAAATCGATGACAGTCAACTGGAATCTCTCTATGGAATTAAAAATCCTCCAGCTCTAGGATTCTACAAGAAACAAGTTCCTAAGTTCTATGACGGTATGTTATCGTACATTGTATTACGTGACATTAACGTAGTAGATTTCATGACTTGGAAAACGAATATTATGAAAATACTGATAGTTATGCTTTATTCAACTTTCTTTTTTTCCCCCTTTCAAAGACGCATCTTTAGATCCAGAAATATATTCCATTAAAAGTAAAATGGTTTCTTCGGTTTTATCTGTCCTTTCCGTTTTCGTATTATCATCATCGCCTAACAGCCTTTCCCATGATTTGACAACTGCTGTAGCCCAGCGCTGTACAACCGAATAAGCAACATCGTTTACATTCATGCGTTTCAATTTTTCAACCATTTTTTGTCCTTCTCCGATTGTTTTTATCATTTTGGACTGTCACAGATTTTTTTTTCCTAAAACTATTTACCAAGTCGTTTTGAGATCATCCTCCTTGGTAGAGGATAGAGAGTTGTAGTAACTGTTTGAAGTCTTCTACTGGATGACTTCCGTCTTTTAGGACATTTTGGATGTTGTTAATCATTTTCACTCATTGTTCTTCTAGAAAGCTTATAAGGTATTTCTCCCGCCTTCTTAATATGCCTTCGTGGTGTAATGGCCAGCACACTCGGCACGTATTCGAGAGGTCCGTGGTTTGAGTCCCGGCGAGGGCATTGCTCATTTTTCATCTCTCCTGCTTTCAAAAAATACCTAATGCCTCTACAAGCCTCAAAGGGACTTTCTTCATCCAGCATTATCGTATACTATGACTTCTCATCATCTAAAGACCACAGATTTTGAAACTTCCGAAGAATCTGGATGTCAGGACCACTTGATGATATGCCGCAACACTCCTTTGAATATAAGTTCAAGGGTGTGATGATGGCAAGCCAACCACAACAATGCTCGTCCGTTTCCTTTCGTTTCTGGTACATGCCCTTTGGATCAAGTCCCATATTAGACGCTGTGGTACATTAGTACAAAGCACTTTGGTATTAGAAATTTCACTAGTCTGAGATAAAAGTGATCAATGTCTGCAACCCCTAAATATGTATTAATTAATTTTCTTGAAATTTGGCGTAGATATCTTTTACGTCACCGAGACTTGGGACGTAAGCAAAGTCATATCAAACTCATATCTTCGGAAACATGAAACAGCCCGGGACCACACTTGAACTGCGGAATCAAAGATTAAAAATCTGATGTGGGCATCGCATGACTTCCTTGCACACCTATTCAGTTATACATATTTTTGGTTGCACTTCATTTAAAATTATTTCCTCGAATGATCCTAACTGAATGATTCCTCGAGGCAAGTGGAAAATGACATCAAAAATTGTAAGTCTGAAATTAGGTATCCCGGTTCATTTCTGTTCTGCGGAACTCAAATTTTGTGCATTTTTATTTTTTCATAACGAGTATTAAACTTTCCCAAATACAAGTATAGGAACCAGTGAAGACCACAGTGAAAGTTCCATTTCCTTATTTGTCCAAAATTAGTTTTTTTTTTAAAATCAGACGTTATTGGTATTATTATTATAAGGGTACAGCCCCGATCCTCATAGAAGGCACAAGCCAGCCCACACAAAAAAATTTTCACTTAACGTTTTTTACATTTTTACACAATTTTTCAAAAGAACACACAATTTCACATTACAAACAGTTTACATTTTTTATTCACAATACCACTTAACTTTTTTTTTTTTTTTTTTTTCCTTCAAGCATACTTACATCTCTTGATTGGCTCAGTTACTTAACTCCCTAAATAATTGATAGTTACTACCTTTAGGATTTTTAATTTTTAATTTTTTTTAATATTAATGTTTACAAAAAATTTTTAATATTACAAAGATAGCAACTTGACACTCAACTTTACCTACATAAGCGCCATCTATATAATTTGAAGAACGCACTTACTTCTCTAGAAGAATTAAAAGTTAGTTAGAATTAAAACTTACTATTTACTTGCTTTAAGTATTTTTAAAAAAATTTTTATGTAGTATTTAAGTATTTTCTAAATATGAAATTATATTTTTAAATATATATTTGTTTTTTAAAAATTGTGAATTAGTTCATTTTGTCTCTTATTGATTTATATGGATTATGTCTAGTTCTTTTTAGTTTCTTTTTATTGATATGCATATTCGTGTCGGGGATGTTTCTGTAGACAAGGGTTTCTAAAATACATTGGTTTCTAGATTATTTTTTATTTTTTATAAAAAAATAATTTTTAAAAAAATTTAATTAATTTTTTTTAAAAAAATAGTTTAATTTAATACTTGACTTTACTTGCTTGTTTCTCAAAAGATTTCATTAATATTTTCCTTTTAGAACTATATTCTTAAATTTAATTCTTAAATGTTAATTTCTAAGCGTACCACTTTATTGGTATTACTTTTGGTTTTGACTTTTACCCTTGCCTGCATGAATGACGAAATACGAATTGAATGATTGGAGAGTAAGGTTTGGAGGCAACTTCCCCTTGATAAGTCTGTCTCCTGCCTACTCAACAGTCATTCACATATGCATTTTTAAAAAATTGTTTAGTTTAATTTTAATTTGCTAAATTAGTGAATTTATTTTCATGGATTGGTTTTGCACTTGATTTGCTTATGCTTCTGAATTTAAATGATATTGTAGATTAGTTCGAGAATTAAATCTTTTATATGTTTGCACATTTTTTTAAATTTTTTTTTAAAATTATTTTGGCTTTCTTTCTTTTTAATGCTTTAAATTTGCTTTTTTACTTTTATGCGTGTTTGTTAAAATTTAAATTTAAATTTGTTTAAATTTAAGGAAAAACATATAAATTCCAAAATCTGAGTCTCAGTGCCGTATTCCAATTCTATCTTTGTTCGTATTTATAACCTTCATTATTGTCTCTGCAAAATCTTTCAAAATTGAATAGTTCCTTTTAAAATCTTTCCTAAAATTCGATGAACGTTGAAATTTTGTTTCTATATTTCTCTCTTGCATTCCGGATAAGCGTACATTCATCGACGAAGTGCCTGGCAACCCCAAACTTATCACAAATTAAGCATTTATCATTATTCTGTAGATGGAAACGAATAAAATAAGCCGGGAAACTCCCATGATTAGTCAGTACCTGATTTATATCAACATTATTTATAATGTTGTTCATCTTCTTGTTTAACTTTATATTTTTCATTAACTCTTTTTTTTTTCTCATAAGACGACTGCCAGCAAAAATTCCATTATGTTAAATCCAGTTTTCCATTTTAGCAATGGTCTTTTGTCTTAAATATTGGATATCAAAATTATCGGTCCCATTCCCAAGTGCCGCCATTTTAGCAGGGGTGTCCACTCTTTCATTTCCGACAATCCCACTGTGGTGCTTTTACCCAGTGTAATTTAACAATATGTTTTCTTTCAGCCTTTTTAAACAAGTCTGTTATTTCATTAATCATATCAAATCATGAATATTTTCGTCATTTAAAACATTTTTCACGATTGCAAGTTTAAGACTATGACCGGCGATTGCGAAAATTAAGGCCGGGTGAGAGGGAGTTGGGTGTATGTATGTATTTTTGGTACTGCCGATTGCATAACAAAAGGGAGGTCCACAACTAGATGTTATAGCATTCCCATATACAAAATTTCAACGTTCTACGGCTAATCGTTTTTGAGGTATGTGAGGTACAATAATACGTACATACATGTAGACGTCACGAAAAAAGAAATTTTGAATCTATTTTACAAATTGTTTTTTAATGAAGAGCCTTTATGCTGTCCGTACATATAGACGACTCACAAAAAATAGTCAAAATATATTCGGTCAAGATGAATATTTCCGTTGAAATCCGAAACCCAACATTTTTTGTGATTGCAATATTTTCTTTGTTTCGTACAAGGAGGCAAAAATAGTAAGCATAATTAGTGTTTTACAATGAAAAACGGTTATGTTAAAATAATGCAATTATTGAAAACATTTTCAGTATCCGCTGCTTAATGCGATTTCGTTTATCCACAGTTATTTCGATAACATTAACTGAAAAATTACAGTAAACGGCCAAGCAAATATCCTTCATTACAGCAATGGATGCTAATTAATTTAATATAAATATAATTAATTTTTTACATAATAATTATATTTTTAATGTAAATATAACGAGAAACATTTACATAAGTACTTTCACAAGAGTTTAATTAGGAAAATGCAAAAGTTTATCTATGAATTGCTCATAACGCTTGTGGACATTATTGGACATATGCTGTGTACTGCTAATGTACTTGGGCAATACATCTACATCCTAATTTTTCGTAGATGTTTTCAGAATTTTTTTTTCTTCCCCCCCAGGAGCAATTAAAAGAAAAAAAAAAGTCTGCGAAAATTTCTTTTGCCCCTGAAGAAAAAGAGCCTGTATCTGCTCACCCTCAAAATCGATAGCGTTATTCAAAATTGACTCCAAACAAAGGTTGCTTTTTTGACTTAATTTTAAATGGTTGATAAAAATCGAAACCTAACTGTCTGGTGACATTGTACGGTCATTAGGATTTTTTTGAAGCAGGAAATGTGAAAAATGTGCAGTGCCCTCACCGGTACTCGAGCCCTGAACCTCTCGAATACGCGTCGAGTGTGCCACCGTTGCACCACGAAGGCATGCAGAAATGAGGGAGGAAAACCTTATATACTCCCTCTTTGAAAAGGCGACTGGGGATTAGAGGACCCAATCGCCAAATCCTGGTGGTGAGGAATTATCATCCGTCACCTTATAAGGTATTTCTCCCGCCTTCTTAGCGTGCCTTCGTAGTGTAGTGGTCTGCACGCTGGGTGTGTATTCCAGAGGTCCGTGGTTCGATTCCCGTAGAGGGGGTTGCTCACGACATAGAGAACTCTGCGAAGCTATGGTACTTAGGCAGTCTCGGCCACGGGGAGTATAAAATTTATGAACTTGGTGGTTCTGAAGGCCCTGAGAAAGGTCACTCATTGGCTGGCCTCGGGGTCTGGCATGTCCTGAGCGGTACGGCTCTGGTAGCCGGGGGTGACGCCCCCGGTTTGCTGGGTAATGGCCCACGCCTACGTTCTCGCCCATGCGACTGGCAGGTAGCAAATTAACAACCAGTGCTGCCTGGTGAATTCCAGGTGGTGCACCAGCCCCTCTGAGAGACCGGAGTGGAGGTTGAACCTTCGCGCCTGGTCCTGAGGGGAAGTTGGATCTGCAGTACGGACTAATGGGTCACGCGGAGCACAGCAGCCAAGAGATTGATTGATGTCTCCTGCTTCCAAAAAATACCAAATGTCTCTACAGTGGCGCCCGAAATAAAAGGCCGGTGGATGATGATTGTCCACACCCAGGGTTTGGCGATTGGGTATCCTAAAAACTCTAGTTGTCCTTTAAAAGAGGCTGGAGTATATAAGGTATTTCTCCCGCTTTCTTAGCGTGCCTTCGTGGTGTAGGGGGTCTGCACGCTGGCTGCGTATTCGAGAGGTCCGTGGTTCGATTCCCGGTGAGGGCGTTGCTCAGTTTTCATCTCTCTTGCTTCCAAAAAATACCTAATGTCTCTACAGCATTTTTTTAGTTCGTGTGCCACTGTAGAGTCATTAGAATGTTTTAAGGCAGCAAATGTGAAAAATGTGCAGTGCCCTCGCGGGGACTGGAACCCTGGACCTCTCGAATACGCGCCGAGTGTGCTACCGTTACACGACGAAGGCATGCAGAAAAGAAGGAGAAAGTAACCTTATAACTTTATGTGTTACTTTGCCACATTTCTTTGTCACTTAGTAAATTTTATAATTCATATTCACCTTATTTGTCAACTTTGCCCGTTTAAAAATTACTAAGACAGTTTTAAAAATGTTATTTTTAGCCGGATGGTTGATCGTAGTAAGCGAAGCATTTTACGTATTTTCGTACACAAACGGTAGGGATCTTGGCCATTCGATCATAATATCCGAATGATAACATTACCGGCGATCACATTAAGAGCCGGATACTGTAGACTATTAACCGTTCCTTTCTTGCACTCGCCAGTGCAGAAACGCGCCAAATCAGCATTCTAACCGAGGCCGCTACTTCTGTACCGTAATTTTTAATATTTAATGATTTAAGCCTTTATAACTATTATAAAAAATTGTTTGTAAATGAAATAAACAATAAAATGCTCGATTTCTCATCATTAATTTACTGAAACATTGTGCAGGTGATTTAACGAATGAAGAAACAGTCCTGCAGTGGTTACTGGAACAGATGAAAGCTGAAGAGATTGAAGATGTGTCAACCCCTGTGTTGCATCAAATGATTAAAAACACCGATTTCCTGAGCATCTTATTCTGTGAGTATATTAATATTATTTGCGAGTTATTATTATTGTTATTAAATTATTTATTAACATTTATTTATATCTTTTTAATCTGGTAAATTACTATTAAATGTACCAGATGAAAAAGATATATTGTTGCGTTTCTACGGGTTCATGGATTTGGAGTGACTGAGGACAGCACTTGATGAAGTATCGAAACACAATGTATTCCCAGTATTACTCAGGACAGTTCCAAGAAACACGTTTACGGTCCAAAAACTTTGTCAAGCACGCTCAAACAATCAGCAGCACATCCTTCGGGCTGCAATGGTGAAGAGAGCTTCACAGAAAAACACTAAATACAGCTCCTGACTCTGTTGATCGCTTTCGGGGTTGATCACTCAACGATAAACTCGGCGATGCATTCGATACACTGCTACTTCGCGTACAGGCAGGATTTATATAGCTTTTGGCCTGCTTCGAGAACATTCTGGGGCAAACCGGTACGAATTCGTTCTAGAATATTCTCTCTTCGTCCATGGCATAACTCCAATCTTGTCTCCAAATGGGCAGTTTCGCGCCAAATCTGGTAACCATGCCTTTCCTTGCGATTTTCTAGCAACCTTAAACCCGCTTTGCGGGGATTGGATTGGATTATTCAGTTATGGCAAAGCACACGAGGGCTATCTGCCTGAAGGGAGGGATGCCTTCGTGGAGGACTTTCTATGGGAAACTGGCTCGTATACACGTTTCATTGGAAACGTGGGCCCCACGTTACACATGAGGGAAACCACGAAAACGCCCATGCAGCCAGCCCGTTCGCGAGATTCGAACCTCGGACCGAACTACCAGGGTTCGGCTTCTTTACCGCTCGGCCGCTGGTGGGCCGCCACTTTGCGAGTAAAGTTATCTTACTGCAGCTGGGCAATTCGTAACAATATAAATTACTGTAGAGCAGTGGTCCTCCAACTGTGTCCTGTGTAACTGTGTAAAAATTTGAAGAGAAAGTTATAAAGCAGTCGCACCAGTTGACTAGTGTTTATTAATACAATGGAGCACATTTTTCAATTGAAGAAAGCTATAAAAATATATTTCGCTGAAGAAAAAAACTAAGTATGTCTAGATTACAAAAAAGCCCGTTCGAGTACTATGATAAATCTGAAGGAAGGCTTACTGGTAAAAGAAAAGATTCTACAGATTCGACGTTAAAATCTAAATTTAAGCAAGAGCAGCTTTTAGATTTCTGGTTGTAGATACATGCGGACTACCTAAAAATTTCTCACACAGCTTATCAACATTTTACTTTCTCAACGCATGTAGCAACAAAAATTATACAGGGTGAATCTGAAACGTGAGCGGGGTGATAGTCCGAATCTTGAATTACGAAGTTATTTTTTATTTTTTTTTCATATTTTGTACGAATTTAATAATAGTTTGACGAACAAACTCGACAATTTAAAAGTAATGTGTCGCCACTCGTTATATTGTAATATATTTAGGTTCCAGACTTAATCAGTAAATTTAGGATTTAAAAGAAATGTCACCTACCTGTCAAACTACCTGTCACCATATTCCAAAGATTAGCCTAATTTTGATATCATGGTCACATCATTAGCACTCTAATTAATACTCTTATTAACACTAGATAAATGAAACAGAGAATCTGTCTAATTTTAAAACTACACTGGTGTGCAAAAATTAAGGACGAGACGGTTTTTTCAATATAACTTTGTACAAAAGCTTTCCAAATCAACACATTTAATACCGTAAGATCCCCAATACGTAAGGACATGAGTAACGTAAGCAACACTTACTAAAAGAGAAATCAGAGGGATAAAAAGAAGCTTTATTGAAAAAGTAGCATGGAGCACAATGCGACTGAAGGCCGAAAACATCCCTGTGATGGGTGTCCAGCAAGAAACATCCGGTCTTTAATAGGGGATATGATCCTCCCTGACTGCTAGGCAGGTTTCACAGCGTCTGCCCATGCTGAGAATGAGGGTGTCAATGAGTTGTTGAGGCATTGCTGCCCATTCGTCTTGCAGCGCCAATCGAAGCTCCGGAATCGTTACTGGTAGTAAGGTACGAGCTGCCAAGCGTCTGCCTAGAAAATCCCATACAAGCTCGATGCGATTGAGATCCGGAGATCGTGCCGGCCAATCCATACATTCAATATCCTCACTCTCTAAGAGGTGTTCGGCAGCTACTGTGCGATGACATGGTGCATTGTCGTCCATGAAAAGGAACTGCGGACCCATAGCGCTTCAAAAAGACGCACATATGGAAGAAGAATCTCGTTACAATAACGGGTCCCGTTGACTGAACCTGCGTCGAAGATGTGAAGGTCTGTACGACTACCAAGCATGATGCCTCCCCAAACGAGAACACCGCCACCTCCATACCTGTCCCTTTCAATGATGTTCGAGGGATGATTGCGGCTTCCCCGCTCTCTCCAGATGAGTATGCGATGAGAATCGCTACTCAGACTGAATCTGCTCTCATCTGTAAAGAGTACTCGTCCCCATTCATTGTCTCTCCAATTCCGGTGTTCCCGGCACCACAGAGAACGCCTTCTCCGATGGGCAGGCGTTAGAGGTACACACCGTACAGGGCGTCGTGCAAACAGACCACCACCGTGCAGTCTTCTGGCCGCGGTAAAACGCGATATCGGTCGTCCAGTCGCCTGTGTCGTGTGTCTAGCGATTTCTCCCGCTGTCTGCCGCCTGTTTCTTTTGGCCTGTAAGGCAATATACCGGTCATCTGCGGGTGTGGTTCCTCGTGGACGACCACTACTAAACCCCCGGATAGCTGTTCCTGTAGTTTGAAATTGTCTCCAAAGTCGTGAAACGATGCTGTGAGCAATTCCGAACTCTGCAGCCACACTTGTCACACTGCGGCCTTCCTCCAACTTCCCAATGATTCGACCTCGGGTAAAAGCATCCAGATGTCGTCTAACAGATTGATTATTCGCCATTTCTCGCTGAGGCAGCAACTCGGTGTGATTTTAACTGCTATACGGTGTGCAATCTCTTTGCCAGGAATACTGATCTTACACCGACAACATGCTTTATACTACTCGGACACTCCCCCATTACGTCTACCTGCATATCTGCGCATGGGCTACCGTACATCACATTACTTAATGTCCTGATTGGTCTTTCTGTCCGCTCTGCCTCTTCGTTCAGCTGATATGCTAACTTTTCGACTTCGTCCTTAATTTTTGCACACCGGTGTATGTTTGAAATTTAATTAGAAAGCTCAGAGATTTAAAAGTAATGTGTTGCCACTGATCGAGATAAAATATTTTTATATTCCATGTGTCAGTGCAATCCCATTCTATCAGATTTAATCTGTCTGTTGTTAACAATGTATTTAAACGCAGAAGTAAAAGTAATACACGCAGTTTCTCCTTTAATGTTATTTATTATTAATTACTAACTGCACCCGTAAAAATGACATTAGCTGGACTTATTAAAATCATTACATTTATAGTTTCTTTTTTTATGATAATTTCTGTATTTCTTCGCGTATTTCCCCTCTAGCATTTTAGCTCCAAGCTCTCAAAATATAAAAAAATATTCGGGCCATTTTACCCTTCTGGAATGCGCTCGTCGCTTCCCTAAACGAACGAGTTCCCAAATTTTTAAAGTCCTCCACGTGTTTTTCAGGTTACTAACAAAGACAAATCCTCGCAGACTACATGCAAAGGTCACGCCGAACCTTTCTGTTTTAATTGTTGAACGTTTTGCTAGCCTCGTAAGGGAATCGGCCATCGCAGGGAAGTAAATGCAAGCTGACATTGTCTGTGATTTCGCCGAGTCCACTGCATATTCACTTTCTCTAATTACTCATGGATGATTCGAGGCCTAAGGTGTAGCAGAGACGACAATAAGAACGTTCAAAATTCAAAGTACAGGGTGCGGTAGTTGTGGATTTTATGGCGCATAACCTGATAAGATTATATATGCGAAATACATGTTAATTGCATCTATCCGCAAGCTATCGCCGAGCACAAGTACAAAATAAGAATGGGCTTATCAAACGGAGTCATCAAATTTTTAATGCTGAGATGAACAGCAGCACAAAACTCAGATAATGATTTCATATATAAAACTGGAGAAAATAATAAAAGATAAGATACATTAGAGCAGGGGTTCCCTTATGCCCCGGGTACCACGAGGCCCCCTTCCCATCGTTTAATGTGTGCCCATCGGTGTGCGATCACAACAAAAATGTTTTAGTTTTCAATAAAATTCTTTGTGAAAGTTTTCTCATTGTTAATGAAATAGAAACTGCGTCCAACACAGATACCAGCACAAAGCAAAATGCGACCGATCTTTTTTTTTTTTTTTTTTTTTTTTTTTTTTTTTTTTTTTTTTATGTGAATGCACTGTTAACTCTATCCAACTATAAATTCTCATTGAAAAAGTAACTGGTGCCCGCCGTCCAACAGGTATTCTAGAATATGGGACAAAAAGGTTGGGAACTCCTGCATTAGAGTATTTAACATTCAAATACCAAGAAACTACATCAAATGCCTTCTCCGGGATTCGAACCCGGGCCCTTTGGCACGGCAGTCAGCTACGCTAACCACTGTATCGGTTGGGCGGCCGAATTAAATTATAAATTTCGCGAATAGGTATACAGAGGCTGTTCGCACATTTTTTAGACGATTTTGGTAAGCGGTAATAAAAAATCGTTTTCTGCAAAAGAAGTAATTGCAATTGTACTATGTTTTTAAAAGTCAAAATTATCGTCTGTGGCTTGAAAGTTTTGTTTTTATTCAAAATGGCGAATTTAACAAAGCAGTGGTTCGAAGGCTACATTTACGCTCTTTCCGAAGAGAAATATGCATACTCCGTTATCCAAAAACGATGAGAGAGTCATGGTTTTGTGATATCTAAAGCGTCGATAGGTAATATCATCAACAAGAAAGGAAAAAACGTCAAATTGGAGCCTCAAGTGGGACAAAAATTCCAAACGAGTATCCAAGGAAAAAACGGACATCTTCGACTATTGCAAAGGTCCGTTGTTTAATGTTAAAAGAGAATCCCTCTAGTCAAAGGACAGTTGTAAAGTCATTAAAATGCTTGGCGTCCACTGTAAACAAAATGATAAACGTTGATTTAAATCTTAAGAAAGCGAAAAAACGCAATGTATCGGTTGTCTTCTTCCAAAGCATATCGCTCAACGCAGGACACGTTGCAGAATTCTATATGAGAAACACTTATCCTAAGAAAAATGGAAAAAATTGTCACAATAGATGAACCATGGGTGTATTTAAATGATTGTAACAAAAAAAGTGCCATTTATTATCATAAAAGGGGAGAAAAAAATTTAAGTACATGGTTCAAAAAATCGAAAGAAAGTTTTTCTATGGGATTCGTGATTGTTGCTGGTTTTTCTTATAATGGCAAGTTAAAAATAAAGAGTGCAAAAAAATGTCAAGATTAACTCCAAATACTATCAGGAACATATTTTATCGCCCATTTTTCTGAATGAAATACCATCGCTTTACCCACAGTGCCATCCATCTGTGAGACTCCATCAGGACAAAGCTAGCAGTCACACATCAAAATCCACTGTAAGAAATGGAACAGAAAACGTGTATCAAGGCCATACCCTTCACCGATATCCCTACTAAATCTCCCGATGTGTCACGTATGGATTTTTGTGCTTTCGGACTTTTAAAAACTGCACTATCCAAACGTTGTCACAAAACCCTAACAGGACTCTGGAAAGGTATTCGGAAGGAATGGGATAGAATACCTCTTCTGCCACTTCAAAAGGCATTATTGTCCTAGAAATTGCGGTGTCGAAAGATAGTTGAGAATAAGGGATGTCAAATAGAACATTTAAAACACAAGAATTTTATGTAATTTAGTTTTGTGAATACAATATACATCGTCTAAAAAATGTGTGAACAGCCTCTTACATTACATTATAAAGCATTTTATGATATTATATGTTATATATATATATAATATATGTTACATTAGACTACATTATACTATAATAAATTATATTATATTACATTCTGTTATATACCACACTACATCATATACTTTTCTTTTTAGGCTGTAATTTTCATCGTTTTTGTTAAATTCCTCATTTGCATTTTCTGAGATAGCTCACATGCTGGTTCAAAGTTACTAGGCATTGTCCTCTCCTCTCTTCTTCTTTATCACATTTTTAATATCACACGCTTCTTTCAATCACTACAATTATTTTTTAACTTTTTAGAACTTATTTATTTATTCTTCCAAAAAAATATTGTAGGATGGCATCGTCCTTTATAATCGGATGATGCGACAAGCTGTGAAAATAAATCTTTTACTTTTCCGAAGATAGAATTCAGACGATTCCGCCATATTAAGACGATGGCGCGATTAAAAGATGTTTGCGTGTAAAAGACGATTCCTTCTCTTCATCTGTAAATAATCTCATCTATTTCTTTCTACGTACGTAATTACTTTGTAGTTTGTAGCAGTTATTCATATTTACGTTAAATATTCGAGTTATTCATAAGTCGGAATAGTCATTTCAAGCCCGTAGACAGCCACCTTGGAAGTAAGTTTACAGACATCATATGCCTAGGCAATAAAAAACCGATCGAATGAATTATGTATTGTTACGAATTACGTATACATGTGAATATTTTTATCGAAATTATTTATAAACTGTAGTATCTCTAACTTAACGTAACATGAAAGGCCTCAAGAAACGAAGCTTCCCTGGGAAAACAAGGTTACAGGGGAAAGTTCTTTAACATTGAGGTAAATGGTAAGCTTTGCCAAAGTCGCCGAACGGGGCGACCGTTTGGTGATATTTTGGTACTATATCTATGTAACTGTAACTGGTCCAATTCGTATGTAACTGTATCTGGCCCTATGTAATTGCAACTATGTAGCAATTCCAGCACCTTCCAGCAATTTTGAGAAATAGCAAGTATTGGAAATTTTTCTGGCAGACGGAGTTAAACTATATATAAGACCTTGGAAGGCTATCTGCCTAAGGGAAGGGATGCCTTCGTGGAGGACTTCTAAGTGAAACTGAACTTTCTAAGTGAAACATGGGAAAAAAACCACGAAAACGCCCATGCAGCCAGCCCGTTCGTGGGATTCGAAAACTTGTACCGAATTACCAGTATTCAGCGATTTTACCGCTCAGCCGCTGTTGGGCCCGGAGCACTATGTACCTATATCGCTAATACTGTAAATTATTGTTACGTTAATTTATCAGTTTCAATAACGAATGCAAATATCATAACTGTAATTATTATTATAATGTGTATAAAATTCCTAATTATTATTTTTACTGTCACAACTTATACTATATAACTTAACGATTTCTTTTATCTAACTGCAGATGACAAAAACAGCGAAAAATCCCAAGCAGTCATAAAAGAGTTGGAAAATATCGACGACGAAGCGGATCAAAGAAATCTGCCGTTCGTAAAAATATCCGATGATGAATTGGCTAAAATGTATGGAATTGATGATGAATTGCCCGTCCTCGTATACTTTGAAAATCAGATTCCGTGCATCTACAGGGGTAAGTACGATAGTCAGTAAAGCGCAAAAAGTGTTTAAAAAATGGTATGAATTTAATATACATTATCTAGGTTTAAAAGTACATGCGCAAGAGGGTAAAGGTGTGGTGTGTGGTGTATTTAATTATGGCAAAGCACACTAGGGCTATCTGCTTAAGGGGAGGGATGCCTTCGTGGAGGACTTTCTTGTTGGTATGCATATAGTGATGAACTGTCGCCAATAGCACGATAAACTGTATGAACTGGAAACCCTGAAAAAGAGTTAACTGTGTAACTCTCTTATTCTATACACTTACTTTTCTCACTCCTTCAGTAAAGGACAGTGCTATGACACTCTCTATAATATAACTCCATTTTTTCAATGTATATATTTGGAATACTAACGAATTTTTATCTACTTTTCATGTATTAATAAAGAATGTGTTTTGTGATCTTACAATTTCCGTCTACACCTATTTTGGATTACAAGTTAATTAGGTATGATCTCGCTTGATGCTGCGCTGGATAGAAGGTAAGAAGAATTATTTTGCTCTCTATTTTTTATTAATTTGTTGTGAAATTTCGACGCTATAAAATGTTTTATAACATTTCTAAGGGAAACTGGCTCGTATACACGTCACACATGGGGAAAACCACGAAAACACTCATGCAGCCAGCCCGTTCGCGGGATTCGAACCTCGGACCGAACTACCAGTGTTCAGCGACTTTACCGCTCAACAGTGGCGTTTTCGTCGTTTTCCCCATGTGTAACGTGTATACGAGCCAGTTTCCCTTAGAAGGTCCTCCACGAAGGCATTCCTCCCCTTAGGCAGATAGCCCTAGAGTCTTTGCCATAATCACACACGCACAGCACAGTCAAGAGGGTAAACGAGAAAAGTCACTAAAAAAATCCATAAAAATTACTAAAAATCTCTAAAATCACTGAAAAACCTTCCAAATTGCTAACATGCGTTCGCAGAACGAGTTCCCCTAAATTTTAAAATGGGTACGTCCACTTAGCAATTGTTTTCGTCTTATTAACAAAGATAAATCCTCGAAAACTGCTGCTTTATAGCAGCTTATTACAGGAACCGACGCATGGCAGCAAAGCAAACAAAAACTGGCATCCATTCTATGATTTCGCGGAGTCGGCTGCTCATTTAACTCTTCTCATTATTTACGGACGATTTGAGGCGTAAAGTAGCAAACGCGACGACAAGAAAGGTGAGATTCAAGTTACAAAGTAGAAATGAAGCTATATCTAATCAGATTTTGTAATATTAATATTACTTCGTATTCTTGTAGGAATATAGGTTTATTGTGATAGTTACCCGTAGTTTATCCCTGCCTGTAGTTTTCATTTGTTATGCTCTTGTTGTAACAGCGTCGTTCAGAAATTAAGTAATTAGCAACCTTTTTCCCTCTGGACTTTTGGACGATAAAATTAATAAAAGAGAAAAGGGGATACACGAAGAGAAGTAGTATTATACTTGTGTAGAGTCATTAGGATTTTTTTGGAAGCCAGAGAGATGAAAAATATGCAACCGCCTTCGCCGGGAATCGAACCACGGACCTCTGAAATACCGGCTCAGTGTGAAGAACCACTACACCACGAAGGCTCGCTAGGAAAGTGGGAGAAGTACCTTATATACTCCCCTTTTTAAAGGGCGACTAGGGTTTTAGGGGACCTAGTCGCCAAATCCTGGGTGCGGAGAATCATCATCCACAACCCTTTTAGTTCGGGCGCCACTTGTAGAGTCATTAGGATTTTTTTAGAAGCCAGAGAGATGAAAAATATGCAACCGCCTTCGCCGGGAATCGAACCACGGACCTCTGAAATACCGGCTCAGTGTGAAGAACACTACACCACGAAGGCTCGCTAGGAAAGTGGGAGAAGTACCTTATATACTCCCCTTTTTAGGGCGACTAGGTTTTAGGGGACCTAGTCGCCAAATCCTGGTGCGGAGATCATCATCCACAACCCTTTAGTTCGGGCGCCACTTGTAGAGTCATTAGGATTTTTTTGGAAGCCAGAGAGATGAAAAATATGCAACCGCCTTCGCCGGGAATCGAACCACGGACCTCTGAAATACCGGCTCAGTGTGCAGAACCACTACACCACGAAGGCTCGCTAGGAAAGTGGGAGAAATACCTTATACTTGAACACATTTATTTTCGTTGTTATGGATATTACGTTAATCGTTACAATTCTTCTACGCAGGAGACTTGATGAAAGAGGAAGACGTTTTGGATTGGCTAGTAAAGCAGATGTCTAGCGACGAAATTGAAGAAGTATCTGACAAGCTTTTAGACCTCATGATCACGAAACATGATCTCCTTGCTGTTTTATTTTGTAAGTATGCAATTGCTGTAAAGCTTGAAATATTTCACATAAATGCTCGTAATCCATTATTTTATTATTTTGCCCGTATTATCACATTGGCTCTCGCTAGAATACAAATTATTTTATGTGTTGTTGTAAATGTTTGTATCCCTTTTGATTTTCTGTATTGTTGTAATATTCTGTATTGCTTAATTTATTTATTGATTATTTTCAGAAGGGTGATTTTATCGTTTTATTTTGATTTTAATTTAATTTAGGGTCACATATCTTTATCTAAGTGTTTATTTGTTGCACAGAATTGTAGGTCTTTTAATTCTAAATGCAGCAACGTTGGAATTGTAAAAAATATCTCGATAAGAAGGCAAGATATACAGGGGTTGGACAAAAATATGGAAACACCTTTAAAAAACATGTTTCTTTGCTTAATATGGTGTAGGAAACCCGTTGGCATCCAGCTTGCAGTCTTCTCGGAATGGATAAATACAGTTCCTGTATGTTTACCAAGGGAATATTATACCATTCTTCCTGCAAAACGGTGGCAAGTTCAGATAACGATGTTGGCGGTGGATAACGATAACGCACTTTCCGTTCCAATGTAGACCACAAAGGTTCGATAATATTCAGGTCTGCTGACTGTGGTGGCCAGGGAAGATGGGACAACTCATCCTCGTGCTCAGAAAACCAGTCCTGGACAATGTGAGCTGTGTGAACAGGGGCTTTGTCGTCTTGGAAGACACCATCACCATCGGGGAACAAAGTTTGTACCATGGGATGAACTTGATCGGCCAAAATGTTCACATAAGTCTTGGCAGTCATGTGCCCTGACACAGTTATCATGGGGCTAGCAGAGAACCACGCTATGGCTGCCCAAACCATAACAGAACCCCCGCCATGTTTCACTCTTGGCAACAAGCAGTCTGTATTATAGGCTTGAGATCGCGTTCTCCAGACGTAAAGTCGGCCAGAAGTGGGAAACAATGTGAAAGAAGACTCGTCAGACCATATTATTCGCTTCCACTGCTCTATAGTCCAGGCTTTATGACTTAAACACCACCTTTTCCTGTTACGGGCATTAGCATCACTGATGAGTGGCTTCTCAATTGCAGCAAGGCCAGCAATTCCCTGTTTATGAAGCTCTCTTCTAATTGTTTTGGTACTCACAGGGTTCGGTAACACAACATTCATTTCAGCAGTAACTTTTACAGCTGTGGTCTTCTTATTTTTCGTCACAACTGCCCTTAATGATCGTCTGTCACGATCACTCAGGACACACTTTCGTCCACGCTGTGATTTAGCAGATGATGTTTTTCCGCTTTTCAAATATGCGGAATAAATCTTCGATACAGTACCTCTTGAAATACTAAACACCTCGGCTACCTTGCTTACGGAAGCACCTACCATACGTGCTCCAACAATTTGCCCACGTTCGAAGTCTGTTAACTCTGACATAATGCAATGACAACCTCACATAACAGTACTCCGACAACAACTGAACTGTTTAGCACATTTACGAAGTTGTATAGGTGGCATCAGTAGTCAAAAACGCCAGCGCCACCTACATATTTCATTAAAATCAATCTTTCTTTTTAAACATGCATTTTACAAGGTGTTTCCATATTTTTGTCCATCCACTGTAGGTGCTTTCGTTCCTATGGAACCTTGACGATAATTTTTGACGTCAGGTTGGCGACATTAGAGGATTTCTCGCCAACCAGGCGACATTCTGGAATATTCGCGAAAGCACATTTTCGAAGCTTTACGTCTAAAACTTCCAGAAGTCTGTAGTGCCTTTGCTGCAGGGTATAAATAGGGGTCGGAAAGTTGAGAACATCAGTTACGAATCATCTGTCATACTTAGCAGCTAGCTGAACTACGAGTCAAGATTGACCCTGAGAGTGATTTGAGGAACTTCGTGATTTCTTTTGCGTGCTGAGGAGCAACTGCTAAATATCCGCTTTCTCCTTGGGTTATTTCCAACTATTGTTGTGTACTGTGTGTGCTACTTATTGTGCGAAAGAACCTCAACGACAACGTACAGGCCTACAATATAAATATTCTGAATATCATAGTAAATTTGACTGTAATACTTATGTTTTGTTGTCGCGCAGGACTTTCTAAGGGAAATTAGCTCATATTCACGTTAAACATGGAAACCAACCGTGCAGCCACCCATTTACCTGGGATCGAACCCGAGTCACACTTTCAGTATTCAGTTGTCTCAAAATTCGACAACTAATTGGGTCAGCGCCTTGGCAGACTCGTGTCAAGTCGAAGCTAAAAATAGCCGCGGTTTGAAGGGTACAATTTTTTATAAGCTTCTATATAGCTTACTCGTGGTGTCTATTGTGGTCAAAATATTGTCATCGAATTTAACCTACTTCCCGCTAAGCAAACGAGTTCATATTCTGTACATACACTGTTTGTCGATTACAAACCAATGTGATAAAGCGATGTTTTTAAAATTCGATTGAAAATTTAATGTTTAAGCGGTTTCTCGCGAATATATTCTTGAACCTCTTCAAAAATCCAGACATTTGCTTCTCTCTCCCCCCCCATCAAATCATAAACTCTTTGCCTCTGAAAATAGTATTAAAAACGTTTCTTTCCTTTTTTCATCAGTTCTCAAGACCTATTCAGAAAACGCCTACTTTCACTACTTTTAGCTTTATTATTCAGCATCACTTTATTCTCACTTGCGCCGCATAACATTCAAGATCAAAATCGCAAGATATTTAAAAACAGGCTACTTTTAGAATTCCCGAAAAAAAGTTAGAGATTACCATATTTGGGGGGGGATTCGTTATATTATTTCATTGAAAACCAGCCCCCTAAAATAGTTATCCTAAACAATTTAATGGTTTTATAGAGACATTAGCTCTTTTTTTTTTTTTTTTTTTTTTTTTTTTTTTTTAAAGCATGAGACATGAAAAGAGCAATGCCTTCGCCGTTACACCACCAAAGGATGTTGGAAGAAAGGAGAAAATACCTTATATACTTCCCTTTTAGAGCGCGACTGGAGATTAGAGAACCGAGTCGCCAAATTCTGGTGGTAAATAATCATCATGCACCACCTTTTTTAGTCGCGGCACCACTGTGGAGTCTTTGGGTTATTTTTTAATCTTGGCGACGTGACAAAAGTGCAATGCCTTCCCCGGGACTTGAACCTGGACCTCTCGAATACGCGCCGAGTGTGCTAACCATTACATCACGAAGGCGTGCAGAAATGAGGGAGAAAATACCTTATATACTCCCCCTTTTAAAGGACGACTGGGGATTAGAGGACCCAATCGCCAAATCCTGGTGGTAAGGAATTATTATCCGTCACCTTATAAGGTATTTCTTCCGCCTTCTTAGCGTGCCTTCGTGGTGTAGTGGTCTCCACGCTAGGTGTTTATTCCAGAGGTCCGTGGTTCGATTCCCGTAGAGGGGGTTGCTCACGACGTAGAGAATTCTGCGAAGCTACTGGCTAGGATCTGTACCCTAGGCAGTCTCGGCTACGGAGGTATAAAATTTATGAACTTGGTGGTTCTGAAGGCCCTGGGAAGGGTCACTCATTGGCCGGCCTCGGGGTCTGGCATGTCCTGAGCGATACGGCTTTGGTAGGGGTCATTACCCAGCAATCACCAGATTTGTTGATTAGGGGACCTAATCAACAAATCTGGTGGTGACGAATTATTGTCCACCACCTTTTAGTAGTTCGGGCGCCACTGTAGAGTTATTAGGTTAATTTGAGGCAGGAGACATTAAAAATGAGCAATGCCCTCTCCAGGAATCGAACCTGGACCTCTCGAATACGCGTCGAGTGTGGTACCGTTACAGCACGATGGTATGCTGCAGGGAGGAAGAAAATACCTTATAGTTTCTGTTAGTTGGCTGTTCAGTAATGTTCCTCGTAGGCCGTAGTGTTTTGTCCGCTCTGGCGGCAATTCCAAGGGGAATAATATGTACACACACCTTATAGTTTTAATTAGTTTAGCTAGTATCATTTCAAAAAAAGTATTTAATACGTCTAATCAGTCATCTCGTGATTCAAATGCATTCTTATTTCAATCGATTAGATTTAAAAGTAGAAAATATATTCTTAAGAACTAAGTTTGTTGCTTTTAAATCGCTTTGTTTGATACTGAATATCAGAGAGATTAGAAGTTAAATGTCTTATCTTTTATAGAAGGGCAACATGTTGAGTCATGGAAGATAAAAGTATTTTATTTCGAGCAATGGCAGCATATTTGCTTTTAAATAGGGGATTTTGTTTTTAAAAGTCAAAAATCTAATATCTCATTTTTGCCGAATTTCAACAATTCCGTGATCTGGAGATAAAAATGATTCATTTTGAACAGTGCTGCCACTGTTTGGTTGCAAATTACTTATATATTAATCAAACTTATATATTACTGCTACTTATATATTACTTATATATTACAATTACTTATATATTACTAAATATATTAATCAAAAATACATTCAATTCGTCTAAATTACGAAATAAATCAAAACCAAATTCGAAATTCAAAATTCTGGCTTCGAGGTGCCCATGTTCAAAATTCGGTGATTCTATGTGCTGCCGTTTTTCCACAATTGCGAGGAACATAATTTACATTACATCTACAATGCATATACTGATTCCTCAATATTTCATTTCTTTAAAAATAATACATGGTGATTACAACTGATTACCAACAATCTGAAAAGTGATTCGAATACAGAAGTGCGTTTCGAGACCATAGAAACAGGTCATCTTCATTATTTAATAATTGGAGATTAATTATTTTGTCTTGTTATTAGACAGAATATTTATTTAGAAATGGGAACAGCTATTTTGGTTGCCCATTCTGTTTACATTCCGAGATGTAGATATGCACAATGCAGTAAGAACCTTTGTTACGATGTGTGCGTTTAAGAATAAGTTTCGGGTAGGCCTAATACTTTATTGAAAAAATTAATTACGCGTACATTTTGTCTTTCAATAAATGTTTCTTTCTTGTCTTTTAAAAAGTTTCATGAGTCACTGATTTTGATACAAAAGAAGCTAACATATATAGATAGACAGATAGATATCTGTAATGAAGCAAACTTAGATGTAATTAGGTTAGAAACAGTTGATCGCGTGTTGTAGAAATGCTGATTGCACAGGATGTTGCTCCGTAATGAAGAGCAAACTGGGCAGCCGAGGCAGATTCAGTACTCATCTTTATTACCAAAACCATGTTGTGGCCACAAAAAAATTGGCCTCGTGGCTTTTCGAGAAAATTGACATTTTAGATAGCTTTGCGGTAAAAAGAGAAGCAGCAGTTTATCTAGGCCGAAGTGCAGAATCCAAGTGAACTAACTATTCAGAACCAGTACTTAATTCGTAATAAGTTAGTTTCGGTTTTCAATGCATTTGATTGGATAATTAATAAAGCTGTTATATTATTATTATATTGTTTTAGTTCCATTTACATCATCAGCTTTATGTAAGAGTCGTAAGGCATGGATTAGCGTCGAAATGATGCAGTGCAGAAAAATGTATTACTATTTTTAGACTAGAGAGGGAAAGTTCCCAAATTAAAATTAAGTATTAAGGGGCTATTGCTAATTTGAATTACAATTTACATTTTCTTAATCTTTTTTCACACACGCACATATCTATGTATATGTTACGGTGAAACACCGAAATCTGGAGAATGTCGACTTTCACCGGTGAATGTCACACATTCACATAGTCTCTTGGTGTATGTCCGAAATATTTTCCAAATACTCTTAAATCTGACTTACACCGGTCAATGTCGACATTCACCATGTACTAATGGTGAATGTTGAACATGTAACAATCTTATATTTTCTTCTCCGTAATTCAGTCGCGAATAAACGCACCTGAGACTTGAAATAAGAACGTAAGAACATGAGAACCTAAAACACACAATGCATTCAAAATGAGAAAGGAAAATAATAGAAGTTAAAAACTTAACTTAATTATACAGTACGTTCTAAATGAGAAAATAATCTAACAGTCATAAAAAACTTACTAAATTATGTGATTCAAATCTTATTTATTGCAACAACTTAAACTATTATGGCACTTTATGACCTCTCTTTTCGTCTTTCACCGGAGCATATCTGTGTATGTCGACAATCACAGATATGCTGTGGTGCAGGTCGAAAGGAGAGGAGTGTGTGTACACACTGTCATTGCAAAAGGAAGTGTTCCACAAATAAATGCAGTGTTAAAAGCAACGGCCTCCTGTGCAATTCAAAGTGTCATAATAGTTTAAGTTGTTCCAATAAATAAGATTTGAATCACATAATTTAGTAAGTTTTTAGCTTTTATTATTATTTTCCTTTCTCATTTTGAATGTACTGTGTGTTTTAAGTTCAATGTTATAAAGTTCTTATTTTAAGTCTCAAGTGCGTTTTCTCGAGACTGAATTACGGAGAAGAAAACATAATATTCTTATATATTCAACCTTCACCATTGGTCCGTCGAGAATCGAAGGTGAGCTCTCCCATTTTATTCTCTATTAAATTTGAAGAGTATAACTGTTATAAATATGGAAGTTCTAAAAACTCATTAAAAAGTTCATTGACGCGGCATAAAGATAAAGTTGTTTCGTCATTAGATGTTTCAGATTCAGTTGCGTTGCAGCTATTTGAAACCAAAACTAATGAAATTTCTAACGAACTTAAATCTGTATTTTATTCAATTTTCGAAACATGTAAACCCGAAGAATTAGATAAATATGTTGAGGATAAAGAAGATACAGATGATATTGTTGATGAATTGCTATTGATGATTAAACGTAAATTAGTAGACTCAGGAGCTGGTTGACTGTACTCAGGAGCTGGTTGACTTTGTATTTAATAACAAAGATTATCATCACAAAGATATTTACTTTATTATGTATTTATTAATCATTTTGTTGCTGTAGAGGAACGATCTGGCTCCAAAACATTTTAAAATCTCTCAATCACAAAGCTGTAAGATCTGTTACAGCAAGTACACAAAAGAAAAGAATACTCAATTCAAATTACGTAGGTCGAGAGTATAACGCGCTAGCAGCGCGTCCTGTCGGCAACTCTTAATCACTACTGAACATACTCCCGACCTTGAAACCTTACGGGTTTCAAAATATTACAATTAGTATACACTGTTTTAAAGCACAATATAATAACAAACAATTGTAAGCAATAGCAATACAATGGTTAAATTTTTAAAATACACATTAAATCATAGATGCAATATAAACACTATAAAGAAACACATTACAATACATAAATCTAATTACAATTCACAGGAAGAACACAAATGTCTCTCACATTTCTTTTTAACATTTTACCACCTGGTAATACTATGTTAATCACTCGAACTTTTTTATCTTTTACAAAAATTATTTCTGCAGTTCTACCTTTTAACCATTTTGTACTGGGCATATGCTCATCCTTGACTAACACAAGTGAATCCACCTTAACATTATCTTTAGTAAACATCCATTTACTACGTTGTTGAAGGGTATTTAAATAGTCTCTCTTCCATAACTTCCAAATTTGTTTACTATATTTCGTTATTTTTTGCCACTTTGAGAGCCTATTTTTCTGGTATCTCAACAGTTGGGGTTCAGCTATTGAAGTTAAGGAAAGGCCTCCCTATGAGAAAATGTCCGGGGGACAAGGTTTCAAAATTATCAAACTCGGATGATAAGGGAGTAAGGGGTCTAGAATTTAATACGCTTCCAATTTCTAGAATCACAGTGAGAAATTCTTCAAGAAACAGATGAGCATTGCCAATAATTCGTTTCAAATGAAACTTAAAAGATTTCACCCCGGCTTCCCAAAGGCCGCCGAAGTTTGGTGATTTAGGAGGAATAAACCTCCACTCAATGTTTTCACTTAGCAGGTATTTAGTCAGTGTTTCGCAATTTTCTGAGCTCAATGCTTGCACCCACATAATTCTTTGCATTGTCACTGAATAATTTTGCACATTTACCCCTGCGACTAAAAAATCTTTTCAAACAAGCTATAAAGGCATCTGAAGTAAGATCAGAGACAAAATCTAAATGGAAAGCTTTGGTGCTTAAGCATACAAAGAACCGTCCGTATTTCTGGAGTGAGTAAAGCTTTTTTATTATAGCATTAGAGGAACTATCCATAGAACTCTGTACATGGTGAATGTCGACATTGACTGGTGTAAGTCAGAAGTAAGAGTATTTGGAAAATGTTTTGGACATACACCAAGCGACTAGGTGAATGTTGACATTCACCTCTGAAAGTCGACATTCTTCAGATTTCAGTGTTTGCAGCTAAACTCATTATTACTTTTTCATTGCAGATGATGCTTCTTCGGACACTCATATTTTGAATGAGCTAGAAAAAATTGATGACGAGGCGGATCAACAAGGAATCGTATTTTTGAAAACGAGTGATTTAGCTGCGGCTGAGAAGTACGGCATCGAATATCTTCCGGCTCTAGTATTTTTCTACCGACAGATGCCTAATCTTTACTCTGGTAAGCAGCGGAAAAATTTTTCAAGTTCTTGCAATCTGCTTTATACTTTGCTTTTCTAATTTTTATTCCCTATGTCATTGATCTCAAACTTTCAGCTCCCCGAAGCAATTACATTTCAGTTATGTATTTTCTGACAGTACGCCGTTGCAAAGTGTTCAAGGATTTAAGCTACACTCCTATCCATAAATTAAGGATAATTCGGAGTCACGCAGAAATCGAACTCTAAAATAAATATATAACCTGTAAAATCACTACACACATCTTCAAGAATCATATGCAAATTTCAGGAAGTAACCAGATGACACCGATGGTACGTCACAATGACGAGAGTGATATATAAAGAATACAGGCAAAGAAGTAAAATTGTTCGCAGGCGCTTTATAAGCATTTTAGTGCAATAACCGAATAGTTTTATGACACAAAGGACGCATTTGGATGATTTTTTAACGTGGTAGAATTATCGGCCGTCTGGAATGTGGGCGTACCCAACTGGAAGTATCAGACGAACTTGGACTTGCCCAGAGTGTCATCTCCAGGCTTTGGCAACGATTCCAAGATGATGGTAATGTGAGTAGACGTTACAGCACAGGTCGCCCAGAGTTACAACGCCGAATGAGGACCGGTATTTGGCAGTTACTGCCAAAAGAAACAGGCGGAGCACAGCCTCAGATCTGTGTCGTCAGCTCTCTGCAGCCACTGGTACGACGGTTTCAAGGCAGACCGTGTACAGACGCTTAGGGCAGATTGGTCTATATGCTCTTATACCTGTCAGATGCGTTCCACTTACTGCAACTCACTGTCGCTTGCGGTCAGCCTGGAGTAAAGAGCATGCATTGTGGATACCGCAACAGTGGGCTTGTGTGATGTTTTGCGACGAGTCCAGGTTTAGCTTGCTGTCCGATTCTCGCCGGACTTTCATATGAAGAGCTCCAGGTACCCGTTAACAGCAAGAAAACATCCTTGAACGACACCGTTACGGTGCAGGAGTGCTCGTTTGGGGTGGAATTATTCTGGGTTCCAGAACTGACCTACATGTTGAAACTGGAACAATGGCAAGCCAAATCTATCGGGACGTCATTCTGGAACAACATGTACGCTTGTTTCGGGGCGCCATGGGTGCACAATTTGTGTTTATGGATGAAAACGCCCGTCCTCACCGTGCAAACATGGTAAGCGAATGCCTTCAATCGGAGGATATCACTCGTATGGACTGGCCAGCATTCTCACCGGACTTGAATCCAGTAGTGCACTTGTGGGACATACTTGGCCGACGAGTTGCAGCCCGCATCCTCCTCCTACATGTCTACCGGAACTTCGGAGAGCATTGCTTTTTGAGTGGTGTAATATTCCCCAAGATCAGATCGATAATTTGATACTCAGCATGCCTAGGCGTTGTACGGACTGTATTGCATCGTCTGGGAGACATACAATGTATTAACAATCATACCAACCATGTAATATTGGTTTTTTGTAAATAGGTGTTTTTTGTAATTTGCTCCAGGGAGAATAATCGCTAATTTTTTTAATAATATCAAACATATAGCATCTCTTTTTTGCTCTTTACCTTTTGTTTAATAAATAAGCTTTACAAATAAGTAAAATTTGCTTTGCTTCTAACTCTTCCTTTGCCTGATTTTGCATTATCCTTAATTTATGGACATGAGTGTATTTGAAGTCAGCGTTTACATTATTATAAGAAAAGAATATTTTTATTATAAGAAAAGAAACCATTTGACCCACGAGCATCAACAATGCGCGATGAAGATAATTTTTAACGATTTTTCTCCACTGCACGGACATTATGCAAATAAATTTTACATCTGCATTCAAAATTGATAACTATTTTCACTCAATTATATGCATTTTAGTTTATGTGTTGAAGGAAAAAAATAATAAATAAAAGAAAGTGTCTAGGTTGCCGTTATTTATTACCGTGTTTTTTTTTTTTTTTTTTTTTTTTTTTTTTGTTTTTTTTTTTTTTTTCCCTTTGCAAATTTTCTTTGAAAGTTTTAAATTTGTTCATCATTAGTTTAAATTATCAACATGTTAGAGAATTATTTGAAAGTAATGCTTTTCTATCAATATATTTGAATTACTAAGCGTAATCAAAAAAAGTATATCAGAGGCCCCTAAATTTGAAATTTCAGAAAGACAATAAATATCAATTTCATTTTTTCCTTTTGTGTTATTATTATTATTATTTATCTACGTTTTGGTAAAAATGTAATAAGTGAAATTTAAAATTTAATTAAAGTATTTTTTATTTTTTGATAATTTTTTCCCATTTCTATAAAAATATCTATGTCGTTTGCTGTTTTCAAATCGTGCATTCGAAATTTCGGTGTCCGCCAATAACATCGCGGCAAAATCATCGCGGGCGAAAACGTCGCGGAGAAAACAACGCAAGGCGAAAACGTCGTGCTACAAAACATCGTGGGAGAAAACATAGTAAAGAGAAAACATCGTGGTACAAGATATCGTAGTCAAAAATAAAGCGGTTCAAAAACTTCGCAGTTTAAAAACATCGTCGTCGAAAATATCGCGGTGAAAAATAAAGTATCGACAAATCATCGCAGGACGATAACATCGCAGACCTGCTTTTTTCAGACTTTAATAATTATAAATATTCCCATAATGATTTGTGAGCGCGAAATGGAAAGAAAGATAATTTTTACTTTTATATTTTTTATTAACTAATAAATTTTTGCTGAAAAAGTAAGAAGGAAACTTAATACTTAAGAATAAACTGAAGCAGAACAAGAAATAATTTTCATTATAAGAGTATTAGATTGACAAAAGTGAAGAAAATAATCTCATAATTAGCAATTTTTTATATATAGGTCATGCAGTTACGTAGCTTCCTTTTTCTAAACTTTTTAGATTATACTTTTAATGAAACATTATCAGTAAAATCTTTATAAAAATGATTTATTAATGACCTTTGTTAGTTAAATATGTCAGTTTAAAATTCTATTAAGTGCTATAAGTTGCCTTAATTTTCTATGCTTAAATTTCCTTCCTACTTTTTCAGCAAAAATTAATTACTTAATAAAAAATATGAAAGTAAAAATTATCATTCTTTCCATCTTGCGCTCACAAATCATTATGGAAATATCCATTTACAATTACTAAAGCCTGAAAAAAGTATGTCTGCGATGATTTGTAGATACTTTATTTTTTACCACGATATTTTCGACGACGATGTTTTTAAACTGCGAAATTTTGAACCGCTTTATGTTGGACGACGATATTTTGTATCACGATGTTTTAGAATTGCGATGTTTTTTCTTTGCGATGTTTTCTCCCACGAAATTTTGTATCACAATGTTTTCGCCTTGCGTTGTTTTCTCCGCGACGTTTTCGTCCGCGATGTTTTCTGCTGTAACCGAAATTTCGAATCCCTTTTCAAAGAATGGATTTCTTCATCGACTCTTTTACTCTTTTCTCTATAATATACAGTGTAAAACATAATAGAAATAATTGTACATAAATAACTTAAACACGACAATTAGGTAAAATATAAATAAATGTTTTGAAAAATGATTTATTAGATTTATGCGCTTAATTATTTTTTTCGTATTATTATTAGTTCTAATTTTATGTGCATAAACAGGTTTAGAGAAACAAAAACTGGTTGCCCAAAATTTTTATTTTAATTTCGATTAAAATTTCAACTTAATTTTGATTTCAATATGTATGTGCACTTGATGCAACATTTTTTAAATATTTACCATAAAGTTTCTTAATTTAATTATAATAACTTAACTTCGTTCTAAAATATTCAGCCTGTTTCTTGTTTTTGATTTCAGTATTGTTTTCTTGGTTCCTGTTTTCATTGTGCTTTCTTGTGTACTTGCGTTTTATTTTTTTATATTGCAAAAAATATTTAATATTATTGATTTTTAAAATGGTTAATAATAAATGTTAATATTATAATAAAATAGTTTCCCTTATTTTGTATGATACAGTTTTCATCAGTAAACAATTCATTATCTATTTTGTTGATTTTTTTTTTTTTTTTTTTTTTTTTTGTAATCAATGGATCATGCCGATCAATTAACGAAGATTATTCGGCTATCGACCTCTTGATGACCATTAATCCCTTTTAAAATTTCATCGAACCCCAGCGGGTCAATGTATGAGATCGTTACAGAATTATATATTTTACAACTAAAATGTGTCATTATGAATTTATTTTGTTTAATATTCGAACAAAATTATGTTGGTTAATTGGGCTTTTTCTGCTTTTAAAGTGATTGAATTATGTTGTTCTAATGTTTTAAGTGTTGCTACCTAACGTGGCCACCATTTGAAAAAGTAGAATAGTGAATTACATCAGCTTTGTGCATTAATTTCAATATTCTTTTTGCCGAGTAGGACCAAAAATAAACCTTGAATTTTGTGCACCGAAAAATATGCCTTCCTGCCCGCTGGCCGATTAGCTTGTTTTTTGGGTAGAAATCTTAATTTTAATTTTAGAAATTGTTTTCAACTGTATTTGCTGTTTTAGGTTTTTCTTCATTTTACAATTATTAATGAAGATGCTTTGAGTTTTTTATGTATTTTTGCCTTGTTTCAAAGTGAGAACCGAATAATTGAATGAAAAATATACCTGTAATGAAATTCGAGGAAATAAATTTCAATGAAATGCAGCAAAAAATGTGTATAATTTAATAGATCGTTTATTATGTTTTTTTTTAATTCCTACTATTAGCTCACACTCTCCCTATATCTTGTTCAAATTTTCAATCGTTAATAAAATATTTTTTAAACTTGTAGTGGATGACACTTGATGTTAATACAGTTTTTTCACATATTAAATTTTTTTTTTTAATTTTAGTCGAAAGATAAAATTGAAGACGTGACGAAAAATTTTAAAAATCGCTTTTTTGTATTAATTTTTTTTGTAATTTTAAAATTTTCCTTTGTTGACCTAAGGAATTGACTTTAATTTTTTTCATTTAATTAATCATTAATTAATTAATGTTCAATCGTTAATAAAATACTTTTATTCATCCCCTCAAGTTCAAATACAACTTTTTTAAACTTGTAGTGGATGACACTTGATTTAATTCAGTTTTTTTCACAAAAAAAATTAAATTAAAAAAAATGTTTTTTTTTTTTTTTATTTATTTTTATTTTATTTTATTTTTAAAATTTTTCTTTGTTGACCTAAGCAGGAAATGACTTTAAAAAAATTTTAGATTACTTATTAATAATGTATTTAAAAATATTTCGTTTCAGTTTCTTTCTTTCTTTATTGATTTATATTTGCAGGTGATATTTCGGATGAAGATGAGGTGCTTGAATGGTTTGTGAACCAGCTAACGAAAGATGAAATTGAAGACGTCACAGAAAAAATGCTTCTGCATCTAGTCAAAACTTCACCAGCACTTGCTGTATTATTCTGTACGTAATTAATTCTATGCTACTTTATTTAGATCGATTGTTCAACAGCCTGATAACGAACAAAAGATATTTCTAAAGATGGCTGTGAAATAATTTGCTAGTTTTTAACGTGTTCAATAAATATTCCATTATTAAATTTCTAGAATAAAAATAATAAAATATACTGGAGTATTAATGCTTACTATTAGAGGCCTAAAATAGTTATTTTTAAAAAAATTATTCTAAAAATAGTTAGTATAAAATAAAATGGTTACCCTAAAAATAGTAAATTATTTTTACTAAAAAATAATAACATAAATAAATAGTTAGTGATTGTAAAAAGTTGAAAATAGTTATTATTAAAAATATAAAAATTATGATTAGTTTGGTTTATTTAGTTACGGCAAAGCACTCAAGGGCATCTGCCTAAGGGAAGGTATGCGTTCATGGTTCTCTCCATTCTCTAACGAATCGAATAAGAATTTTTTTTTTTTTTTTTTTTTTTTTTTTTTTTTTTTATTGCTGAGTGCTCTCTGTATCACACATTGCATTTGTTTATTCGCTTTTCCGAAAATGTACTTGCAAATATAAATATTACAGTTACTTGCAAATATAAATATTACAGTTACATATATATATTACAGTTACATATAAATATTACAGTTACATATAAATATTACAGTTACATATAAATATTACAGTTACATATAAATATTACAGTTACATATAAATATTACAGTTACTTGCAAATATAAATATTACAGTTACTTGCAAATATAAATATTACAGGGCGGAGGGGCGGTTCGCCCCAGTCGGCATTTTGCGCATGAAACATTACTTTATAAGATTTACTTTCGTGGATGTTCAAGGCAGGTGAAGAATTATGAGATTCTGAATCGCTGTTTATTGAGAAATTAAATTGAGAAGAAAAGTAGTTTTTGCTCTAGATAAAATATTTAAAGAAATTCCACTAGATTTCGAAAGCTGCACTTTTTTTTTTTTTTTTTTTTTCTTACTGTACTTTTTATTCTATCAAAACTTTTGAATGAAAATTATGAATATCATCTAAATTATGATAACCGTGTTATTCACAAAGAAGAATTCTTATTTGAGAGAGAATTATTTCACAGTTTTATTTCCATTATTGCTAGGAAAACGGAATAGTAACGTGGAAGGGCGGTCCTTTTGAATTTTTGTAGCTTATTTCAAAATAGAATTTCCAGAACAAAATTTTAAATATTGTAATAACACTAATTTTCCTCCTAACTGTTATTAGTTACGAGAAGAGTTTTCTGAATAAAAATAATTTAAAAAGTATTTCTAAACTATAAATGCTTATTTTGCATTTAAGAAATCTTTCTGTAACTGAAAATGGAGCTGTCAAGTAGATCCATACAATGCCATCGTTGGTCTCGGTAGCAGAAAAAGAAAATATTAATATAGTTTTAAAATGTTGGAATAAAGATTTTTCTTCAAAAATAAACGTAGATTTAATTTATTTCATTCTGACAATTTTTTTTTGAATTTGTGTATCAAAAAAGGCAACAAATTCAGAGACGTCCCCAGGCGGCAATCTCAAGTACGGCACGGGATGGCAAAAGTTCTAACTGGCAACCATGCCCCTAACAATCATTCAGTCAAGCAATGTCGCCATCGCATGCGTTTTTTTTTTTTTTTTTTTTTTTTTTGTTTTGTTTTTTCTCTTATATATTTGTAAATTGTACATTTTTTGCTTTAAAAATGATTCACTTATGTTGTTTTTATCTTCCGGTTAATTATTTTATGCCTTTAGTAAATCTGTGTGCAATATTTTTAGAATTATCAGCAATTTTAAAGTTGTTTAATTGCCGCCGCTAAGCCTGTTTTTTAATGGCGGCCATTGATGTTTACATTTGAAACAGGAGACTAGTGGATTTGTTGCCAATCTAGAGAAACTTAGCTTCGCAACAACAAAGATAACGCTTTCATTTATTATTGCCAATTAAATCATGCTTAATTCTTTATGGAATTTTTTCGAGGAAATAAGCGTTTTGAGATTTACTTCGTAATTTTTAATATAGATATTTTTGAGTTTTTTTGTGTATTTTTTGCCTTCTCCGCGAAGTGAGAACTGAATTAATTGAATGAGAAATACTTAATCGTCTGTGAACAACTGTTTCTTTTTTTGTTTTGTTTGCTTAATTTCTTTTATACATAGTTCTAGCTTTATTATAGTATTTCAATAGAACATTTGGCAACGATTAGATAATTCTTTAAATGATATACATTTTGTGCATTCTGAGTTATAATATGAATGAAATATGTAAACCTAGCATCAGAGTGTCGTTGTGGTAAACAAAGTGAATTTTAAAGAATGCATTTATTCTATTGTGGATTATGCGGTGTCGGCGAAGTAGTTTAATTCAATCTAATAAGTTTAAATAAAATGCAAGAAAAAATGCGTATAATTTAATATTCCGTGAAAGGAAGTCATGTGGTGTACACGTCAGATTTTTTAATGTACAGAGAAATCCTTAATTAACAATTAAAATTTGTATATAAAATTGCTAAAATAAGTTGATAATTTTTGTCAAAGAAGATAAATACCGATAGTTTGAGAACTTTTTTAAAAAAGAAAAAATATCGCAAAACCATCAACTTGCACCCAATTAGTGTCTCACCTTTTCATTTGTAAAAAATCGCTAAATTTGGCCAAGGTGGTCGCATGCTACTTATTATGTTCTTGGATTGTCGTTTTTGAAGTTTATCTTAGTGTTTTTAATATTCGCCAAATTAATTTTATGTGTCACCAAATTTCGCCAAATCTCATGCAGCTTTCGCTTTACTACTAAAATATCTATGACCTAATTATATGTACTTAATTTATGTACTGAAGTTAGTTACGTTATATTATGTTTATATATTTATAATTAATTTTAAAATAAAGTAAGTTTAGTAAATCTTATAAATGTGCAACAAACAAAATAAGAAGAATGAAACTGTGGCGTATAATAAGCACGAAGATTTTATACTAAAATCCCAATCACCTTTACAAAACTTACGCTGAATGAGAGAAAGGCCGGTTAATTAAAAAAGTACAAAGAATTAGTAGTTTGCAAATCAGAGTTTTAAAAATAAATTAAGTAAAATGTTTTTTACACAATAAGATTTTATTTGAAGTCATAAAAATCATTAATGAAATGAAAGAAGAAAAATAATTGACCATGCTATTTCAAAGGAACATGAGATTAAATTATTCTCTTCGCAAAATTCATATACGAGTTTATATCACAAATAATAAAAAGCGCGGGATGCCTTTGATAAATTTATAAATATATTGACTCAAACATTTGACAATACAATTCTACATCGTTACTTATGTTTTTATCATTCGTGACATAAAAATGTAGATGAACTTTGGAAAGAGAATTATTTAATCTCTTATTCCCGTTAAACCTCGTGATAAATTATTTTTCTCCTTTTAATGCAATAGCATATCCATTTTTAAAAAAGTATATTTTATAAAAACGTTTTTTAGTTTCCTTTTTTTATTGTCAATGACACGTTATCCATCGAATTATTCAATTGAAAAATTATTTTTCAACAGTGAAAGCTACAAGTACTACGAGTGAAGTAAATAAAACGTTTATAATAATAATAAAAGATTTATTTTCACAGCTTGCCGCGTCATTCAATTATTATCGATGATGCCATCCTACAACTGCTCGTCCATCCTGATGGAATGCGGCCTCGAATTCTCGTAGTAAGACCATCAGCGTCTGGGGATTTGAAAAATTAAATTAAAAACAAAAACATTCAAGAAAATCTGAAAGGTTTTAAATTTTAAATTACGTCCAAAGGGGTGTTTTTTTAACGTTTTGTGTGTTAGCTTTATTTATTAAATATCATGTTCTACGTGCTCAATCATAAAATTCAGTTCAGCAGCAATATCGCAAAATAATTTTAAAATAAGCCTATCTTTAGAATTTCCGATACAGAGTCTCGCGCGCTGAAGATATTTTCTTTTTCCTTACAGTATTGCCATTGCTTGCTTCGAAACCATGGAGTTTGTTAATCAAAAATTCGTTGAAGTGTTACAAAATATGAAATCGATAATAAAACAAATTTCAAATTCAAATTAGGGCTTCCACATGCCCATATTCTATGGAAGATTACGTTATTCAAATTTGGATGGCTCTAGGTACCGTTGTGTTATCACAGTGCGAGAAACATACATACATTTATGCAGATTCCTTAATATTTAATTTCTTTAAATATAATACAGGGAGATTATATTATGTGTCAACAATTTGAAAAGCGAAACAACGTTTATCGTGAATAGACACAAAATGCCAAAACGAAATTAATAGTCTTTCTGAGCAAATTGCCCCTTTGGACTAAAAAGTATGTGTTATAGTATGAACATATTTATTAAACATATATTTGTTATTTTTTGTTCGCATAATTTTATATTTTCTTCTTCATAGATGACGCTGATTCTGCTATCAGTTCAGTGGTATTAAAAGAGCTGGAGAATATTGATGACGATACGGAACAATACAGCATTCCTTTTGTGAAAATAAGTGATTATAGCCTTGCTCAACAGTTCGGTTTGAATGATGAACTTCCGATTCTTGTTTACTTTGAAAACCAAATACCATCCATTTATGAAGGTAAGTGCATAACATCTCTATGGGAAAACTTAAATGAGTATAATTCTTGTATTAATCAACGTAATCTTAATTTTTCATGCATCGGAAAATTTATTTAACTTTGTAAGAAGGTGAGGCCTTCAGTTTTATCACACACACAAAAAAAAAAAAGGAGGAGGGTAGAAAAAGAAAAATATCTGAAAGGATTTCAGATTTTAACGGTCGCAAAAGATGGTTATGGTAAGGTTTTCTACGCTTTTGCTGAGCTCGCAGTCTACCAGTCTGCTGTTGCATTCAATCCTGCTAAACTATTTCTTTTTGTCTTTTTATCTTTATTATTAAGCATCATTTTCTTCGTACTCAAATTAAATTACAAAGCAAAATTACAAAATCTGATAAAATTTGAAACATACATATTAATAACTTTCCGAGAGGCAACCTATTGCTTTCAAATCTCCGAGATAGCTAATCAAAACTTCCTTCAATTCGCACGATATCTGTATATACAGGGTTATCCAAATTAAACTTCCCCAACTGAGAGGCCTGTGCAGAGTGTTGTATGGGTCATAATGTGATGAAATTTTAAAAACAGACACTTCAGATCATGCGCTGGAGATTTAGTACACAAAATGAAAATTAGTACAAGAAGTTGCCGGTATAGGTAACCGGCCGCTGTAACACTAGTAATGGGCATATTGCAGCAACGTGATTTGCAGAAATAAAGCTTCTGCGCAACGTATCCAAAAGACGAGCCCTACAAAAGTGGAAGACAGGCCTTGCACAGGCAGTTGTTTCCAGCTCGCTGATGCACAATGGCGACTTTGAAAGACAAAGCTCTGTTAGTGAAACTTTTCTGCCAGAATGACGAGAACTTCTGTGCTGCGATATCAGCATTCCGTCGGCTGAAGATCATACGCCGAGTACCAGTGACACCACGCGCTCTACGAGACATGATGCAGAAGTTCGAAAGAACGAGACAGCTTGGAATTTTACCAGGTAGAGGACGACAGGTTGTGGAATCTGCACGCTAAGAAGACGTTGCTTTGGCGGTCGTGGACCCCACTAGCCAATCGCCACACGGTGTTGTCAGTATGCCAACTGTTTCCCGTGCTGTTGATATGCCCTATACGACCGTCCCTGTCTGGCGTTGATGCGTCGAATCCTCGGTTATTTTCCTTACAAAATCCATAGTCGTCATCAGCTGTCCGATGGGGATCCTGTAGTTCGGGAAACATTTGCGTTGCAGTTCCTTGCCAGAATGGAAGTCGATACTGCTTGGCCGTGGAACGTCCTTTGAACGGATGAGGCCCATTTTCACCTGAATGTTCAAGTGAATACGCACAAATGCCGCATTTGGGCAAGTGAAAACCCGCGCGCAATCCATCAAGTGCCATTGAAACCTCCAAAGGTTACTGTATGGTGCGGTTTCACTGCAACATTCGTCATTGGCCCTTATTTTTTTTGAAGAGGTGACTCCACCAGGGTTCAAAACCTGCTCTGTCACAGGTACCAGGACATATTGACAACGTTTGTGATCCCTGAACTGCAACAACGTGGCCGCCTCCAGGACACGATATTTATGGAGGATGGTGCACCTCCCCATATTCTTCGTGGCTTCTGGTGTTATAACAACATAAGATTACAACAACGATATTCAACAGGTGTTACGGGCAACTTTTACCGATGCACGTGTGATCAGCCGCTGTTTTCCTACAGCTTGGCCTTCCTGCTCGCCTGATCTCACGCCATGCGACTTTTGGTTATGGGGAATCTTAAAGGATCGGGTCTACCGAGAACACCCAGCAACCTTGGCACATCTGAAAGACGCAATTATTCGACATGTTCGTGAAATTAATGTGGACTTACTGCGTTCCACTGTGGAATCCACTGCTTTGCGAATGGAAAGAATTGTGGAGAACTACGACACACATATAGTACATCTGTAGAATGTCTTGTTGATCTGCAGCGCCACCTATCAGCAACTTCTTGTACTAATTTTTTTGTTTAATAAATCTCGAGCGCATGATCTGAAGTGTCTGTTTTTAAAATTTCATCATATTATGACCCATACAACTCTCTGCACAGGCCTCTGAGTTGCGGAAGTTTAATTTGGATAAACCTGTATATATAAAAAAGAAAGTCTGTTCGATGATAAGTCAGTCACTACTATGACTGTCATCACCAAACTTTCTACCATTCTTTTCTGGGTCCTGGAAAAGGTCGACGTCCACTTTTTTTCAGAAAAAAGCAGCTAAAATTAGAGATATTAATTAAACACTCGGAAAATGCTAATTTTCACTTTCATTTTTCCGAGTGGCAAACAGTCTCGCAAGCTGAGGATGAAAAATCTGCTTTATTTCGAAAGTTGTTCCCACTGCTCGCTTTCAAATCCTAGAGTATAAATAATTTTCTAAATTCTTTTATTAATAATTTTCTAGAAATAAAAAATTTTCTAAGTTTTACCATGAAATAAAAATAGCACTGCCAAATGTTAAATACGTTATCTCCGCCGCTCAACCGGTATAGTGGTTAGGGTCATAATATGTCATAATACAGGGAAGACCCAATCCTCCTAGTCCCACTGGACCATATGATTATAAAGGGTCGACCCCCTCAAGACCACAAAAGGAAAGAAGAGAGAAAAAGAAGCTAATTAACTAAAAATAATTGGAGGTTAATTAACGAACTAAAAATAAGGAAGAGACATACAAACAACGAAGCACAACACCAAACATTCAAAATCCAAAAACAATTAAAAACCCCACGGGCAAACAGAGTGGCGGAAACTCTCAAGAAACATTCATTCACATGAATTTTCGGAACAGGCACAGGCGGTCCAAAGCCATCGAGGAATTCCCAATTTAAATAACCTACAGAAGGTCAAACCGAATTCCCTACAGTATTACTTTAATAGCATATTATTTGTATAATAATAATTCTATTTAAACTATTAATTTATTTTTAAAATTTGCTTTAATAGTCCTACCACTATCTGAATTCAAATGTATTAATTATCTTTAATAATCCTATGATTATGAAAAGAAGCTCCAAGAGTGCCAATAACCAAAACTGGAAAAATTTAAGATTGCCATGTATCATATTAAAAAACTTTAGTAATTACTCCATTAAGAACAGAATATAAGAAAAATTTCAAAACTTTAAAATTTCAAAACATTTTAAAATCAAAAACTACAATTAAAACTATAAGAAAAATTATAAAAATTCCATAAAATTTAAAATTTTAAAAATCAAAATCCTAAAACTCAAAACCATCATTAATTTCCATAATTTAAATCTGGTAATCCATCAGGATTCTCAACATTTGCAAGGCCATATACATGTAACAATCAACTGCAACCATAGTGGTTAGGGTCGCGGACTCACGTGCCGATAAGCGATAAGCAACGGAGGACGTGGGCACTGTCCACGTCCAATTTTGGTAAAGGGACGTGTCCCTTTACCAAAAGGTTAATCGGTATAGCACCACGTCCACCTATATCTAGAGCCTAAAGAGGAATCACAAGACACCACGCACCGGGCTTCCAAACCCAAAGCCAAATTCAACCCGGGGGCAGTCCAACAGACCAAATGCCCACGAAAGACAGTCCCAACAACCGCCCAGCCCCACATTTATTAAATAAAATAACAAAAGCATGCGGGGCCAAAAAGGCCGAGTTTTGACAATAAGCAAAAATTTTACAAAGGTGTAATACACAGAAATATAGAATATACATAAGCTAAAGTACAGTCTGATGTTGGGCAGCCCGATAATATACAATGAGTAAAATATAGACAGTAGAATTAGACTTAATGACAATATAACATAAAAATAGAGACAATAGTGACATAATGAATGTAAATGATTACAACAATACACAGAGGATATACCAAAAGAAATAAAAAAAATAATCAATATCCATCAGTGTGTGACTGGAAGTACTGATACATGGGAAATGCGTAAAGCATTCAGAATTCGACTTAATTCGAAAAGACTAACAACTGGATCGGGATACATTGCATAGCCAAGTACATATATTTGACAAAGCAACATATTGAACGTCAGTGTAATAAACTAGATATTCGCTATGACAAAGTCATGTTACAATACCGCAGGTAGTAATGTGATACAGAAGAAGTAGGTAGCGTACAGTTCGAATCCCGGAGAAGGCATGGATATTTGTAAATTTATAGTGTCGGTGTGGTATGGCGGCACTCTAAATATACGGCGAGCCGAAAGTCCTCTCGTGTGGTTCGTTGAAAGGGGGGACGGGTGGGAGACACTCGGACCCGTCTCCCCCTGGGCGTTCTTCATCAAAATTGCGGGCGGAACTGAGCCAAATCTCACTGTCACCTGATAGGTGCTCAAGGCTGTTGCCAACGGCAGGCGTAATCTAGCGCTCCTGGCAAGAATACGTCAGATAAGTGAGCATATGCAGCAGCAACAACAATACATGATCTCTAATTCAAAAATTTCGTGGGAAGCATTTCGACTATTCCTGTCTGCGTACGACTTTAATCAGCCGAAATATTATTTAAAAAACTTTTTTAAGCAAAAATTTGTAATTTTTAGAAAATCTAGATATATATATGTAATAATAAAATTCCACTAATTAGTCAAGAATACACTTAAAATTCTAACTGTATGTTCTTTTCATTTTTAATGGCGACGTTCTCTTATTTGAAAGTATGTGGAATTAAATTCACAGCCCCGTAGTCAAGTTGTTTTTCGCGCCTTTTCTACACGTACAGTTATAGAATGTTCTGGAAGTATTTTAAAGCGAACTGGATTGGCTGACGTCATTTCTTGGAAGCTCCGCCTTTCCAGAGGCTATAAAAAGACTCGCAAAAGGAATATCGGCGTCTTTTTCTTAAATGTCACGATGCAGTAAACTTCATACAAAAAGTTATTAGTAATTCTTTTTATTTACTCCGGATATCTGATTTTTGTAACTGCTATTTCTCCTGAATAATAATAAATGGATCCTGTTTTTTTTTAAACTTATCGTCTGATTATTTAAGCTACGACTAAAGCTGATACATGATATATATATATATATATATAAAGAAGAATGTATTTGTGTATTTGTTCACGTTATTGAATTCTGATCAATTATGATCCATTTTTTTGCCATATTGAATGGACTAAAATTATATATTAAATATAGATAAAATTATATAAAAAAATATAGGTGAAATATTGGATGGAACTTTAGCTTTTACGACCCTTTGATTAGAAAGACGAAAAACATTAAAAACTGCATGCCATTGTTGCTCGTATAATGAGAGAGCATTAAAATAGTGGTACTATTCTGTTTTGAGGGCCGTAAGAAAATTGCAGCGAAAATGTACGCGCAAAAGCGCCAAATCTAGCAAACGCGCCCATTTAACAGCGCGCCAAATCTAGCGTACGCATTGATTTCAGATTGCTTAAGTTTATATAGTTCTACATTTCTTAGGGCGCCATTGAAATACTAGTTTAATTTTTAAATCCTTTTTTGATTTTAAATCCTTTTTTGATATCCTATGGATTTAACAATTTGGGAATTGACCATGACGAAAAGTCGGCAATAGAATTTTGGGTAAAGTGCAAAATCACCCACTGCTTGACGCGTTTTTAAAAATTGCACATACTCGGTATCCATGTGCACATCGACCATTTTCACTTAAAAAAAATTCCTAGAATTGCACAAAAATGGCACTGCGCACACCCTTGACTTTATATATGTACACATCGACCTATTTTCACTTAAAAAGTAAAAGAAAATTGACAAAAAATCCAATTGTTTTTACCCTTGTAAAAAGCGGCAAACAAATAACCGAGCGATTCTGCACTTTACCGAGAATATTTTCAAAGAAAAGGCATCATTCATTATAGAAAATTACGTTTGAACAACCAACGAGATGAAATTATGCTTTAGCGATAAGTCGGTGGCGAAATAGCGATGCAGGCATCCATTCGGTTATGTTTAGCAATTTTTATATAAATTATAATAATGATCTGAAATAGTTATTGACTCTTATGCTTCCATTCAGTCATGTTTAGCCTGTTTCATATAAATTTAATAATAAAAATGTATTATATGAAATTAACCTTTCATCTAAATTAAAACATCAATCTTGGGTAGTTATTTACTATTATACTTCCTTTCTTGCTCCAATTATTAGGGTTGCCGTAATTCTTTTTGGCAGCTTTGGCATCAACAATACTTCGGCGATTTTTTACGGCCCTCGAAACCGAATAGTACCAAAATAGTTTATTTTTCTATGGAAATTTTTTATGCGGGTTCCACGCCTCATCAGACTGAAAAATGTACGACTATGAATCGTATTTTTTGCATCATTATTAGAGAAGGATTGCAGCGGTTCGTTCTCTCATGTTAGACACATTACTCTCTATCTAACGTAACTGTCATCAGGTACTTCCGCTAGTATGAAATAAATAAAAAACAAATCCGAAATAAAAATTTTGGGCATCGAAGTGCTCATGTTCAGGTGGAAGACTAATTACCTTCAAAACTAAGAGGCCGTACATGCCGCCGTTTTTATACAATGAGAGGAATTTACATTTAAGAAGATTTTTCATTAGTTTATAGTGTTGCGTGGCCCCAACTTGTCAGCGAGCCCACTAGCGGCCGAGCGGTAAAGTCGCTGAACACTGGTAGTTCGGTCCGAGGTTCAAATCCCGCGAACGGGCTGGCTGCATGGGTGTTTTCGTGGTTTTCCCCATGTGTAACATGCATACGAGCCAGTTTCCCTTAGAAAGTCCTCCACGAAGGCATCCCTCCTCTTAGGCAGATAGCCCTAGTGTGCTTTGCCATAATTAAATACACCACCACCCAACTTGTCAGCAACTATGGTAGTGACTGCTATGAACTGTAAATTACACAATCTCGTAATCAGGGTTTAAATCCCTTTTATTCCACTTTAGAAATAACTGCTGCGTTCACTTGACGCTCACAAACTACGCCGACCCGGCGGTTTAACAAAAAAAGAACTGTGAAACTAAAAATTAATGACAGGATGAATAAACAACCAGATCACTACCTACGAGGGCCCACCAGCGGCCGAGCGGTAAAGTCGCTGAACACTGGTAGTTCGGTCCGAGGTTCGAAACGCTGAACACTGGTAGTTCGGTCCGAGGTTCAAGAAAGTCCTCCGCGAAGGCATCCCTCCCCTTAGGCAGATAGCCCTAGTGTGCTTTGTCGTAATTAAATACACACACCCTACGAGGCTCTAAAATCGTAACTAACCTAACCGTGTTCTAAAATACAGCTGAGATTCAGCAAGCTTACTAATTAAGCAGTTGAAAGATTCCAGTAAAATCTACCGAGATAGGCACACAGGCCGACACGCGCGGATCTTAAATTTCTACCTAGCAAACCTTCACGTTCGCGATTCAAGAAGCACACCTACAATCTCGTTTCCCTTTCTATTTAAACTCAACTTACGTTCTGCTAAATTTGAATACTCTGCGCGTTTCTACTACGATTTACATACTCTGGCATTGGCAATTCTAGGGGAAAGTAAAGGCTTGACAGGAAAGATAGCTTAAAATAAATGTTAGTTAAAATAAATACAAACCCTACATGTTAATAATGGATAATTAGCTGAATGTCGCTCTTTTTCTTGTAATACATATTTTTTAATTTTTTGTATAATTTATTGCCACAATGGCAGTCCGAGAAAAAAAAATTTTTTAGTGCAACATATTCGAATATTGGTTTTAACATTATTCTTCCAAAGAGTAGCAACAACTTGCATTTAACGTCGATATTTTTTTTTGCAGGTGACCTTACCAAAGAAGAGGATGTGCTCGCTTGGCTTATAAAGCAAAAAACAGAAGACAGCATTGAAGAAGTTACAGAAGAAATTCTTCTAACTTTGATTAAAGAAAGGGGATATGTTCTCACCTTTTTTGGTAATTTTCTTCGTTTACTTGGATAAATCTTAAGACAAAAATTAAACCTTGCGCGTTTGCTTTAAATCAGGCATGAGAGAAATAACACAAACATTTTTCTTGAATACTAAATTTCAGTAAAATTAATACGAAATAAATAATGCATAAAAATGAATTCCTAAGTAGCTTTTAAATAAGCTATTAATTTCGGGAATGCAAAACTGAAAATCATATTAATCGGATAAAAAATATTAGGAATAAAAGTCTTCTGGAATACTAATTCAGAAGTCAAACAACAAAACTCAGCGTTAATTTTCAAAATTTTCCCAGGACTAGTTTCGATGGTTTTACCGAACCACCATCCTCAGCTGCAAAACCGCAAATGAACAAGATAGGAAATAATGATGAGATAAGATAAGAAAGCCATCCCGAGATTTGAAAATATCCGGTTACTTTCGCCAATAACCAGTCTGTTCGCTTCTTATTATCATCGGACACTAAAACAAGATCTCCTATTTTCAGAGGTTGTGAAGCTTTTACATGTTCATAATTTTGCCGTAACTGTCCGAGATACTAAACCTTAACGCATTACTGAAGCTTCAAATGTATATTTTATTGTTATTGTATTAGTTTTAAATTTCGCTTATTTTTTTTTTTCAGCTCCCAACAACTGCACCATTTGCGAAGCTATACTCCACGAATTAGAAAACATCGATGACGAAACCGATCAGCACGGAATTCTGCTCGTGACCACTGACGACATGAACGTGGCGATGAACAAAGCGAACGTTACTGAATTCCCGGCTCTCGTCCTGTTTCGGAATGAAGAACCCGTAGTCTATCAAGGTAAATCCGTCTTGCAAAACCATTCGAGCTCAAGTATGAAAACAGTGCAATAAACTTTCATAGCCGTGACGTTTTTCTTCTGCTGTTGCTATTCCCTATAACTTTTCTGTTTAGAACCAGAGGGCTATTAAATAACTTTTTATCCGATTCAACTAACAAATGGTTGCTAACAAATGTTATCGCCATGCATTATTAAAAAAAATAATGAGGCAGAATGTAACCGCTTTCGAATCACTGAGTTTATTAATCAAAATTAATTTCCTTCGTAATATAAAATAAATATAAAACAAGTTCGAAATTATGAGAAATTTTTACTAGACTTTCAGTTTTAATCAACAAACTCAGTTATTTAAAAACGATGTGTTTCCACTGCTGGAAATAAAATGCTTTTATCTTCAGCGCGAGCGTGATGCCATTCAGTAAAGCGTAACTTTCAAATTAAATCTCTTTGTCGTAGATTAAGAAAGCATTGATTTTAGTAAAAATGCATTTACATTCTGAGGTGTCTAATTAGAAATATTAACTATATTTCTGACACTAGCTGGACTCATTAAAATCTATACAGGGTGTCCCATAAATGTTGAGACAAACTTCTGGGAGAGGTAGGGCAACTCATTGGGATTAAGAATTGCATAGGAACCCATGCCCGGAATTGTCAGGAGTAAATGGTAGCAGAGGTTGAAGATGGGAAAGGAAACAAGAGAGTGATTAATTTAAAACATTTATTGGACATGAATAAAAATGGTGTACGACAGCTTGAAGGCTACAACAGATGCTCAAAGTTTGCACCATCAGACGCCAAACATGCCTGACACCGACGGACCACTGATTGCTGGACGTGTTCAAACACATCGAAAGTTTCTTTGATTGTAGTAGCTGCGCAGGCGAGTCTTGCCACGAGATCCATTTCAGACACAACAGGATCGTGATGCACGATACTTTTGATGGCTCCCCACAAAAAAGAAATCAAGGCTCGATAAATGTGGTGAGCGTGGATGCCAGGGAACCGGTCCACTGCGCCCAATCCATCGATGCGGGAATGTTCTGTTCAAGTGGCTACGAACTTCCAGTCCTGGATGAGCAGATGCCCCATCATATTGGAACCACATCTTCATAACCTCTCCGTTCGTATAGCGTTTCATACTCTTCTTCAATCCTCACTTTCCACTAGCACTCTTCTGTATAACACCATCAGGCGGCGTACAGTGACGTATCTGGGCAGGAATTCCTGTGCAATTCTTAATCCTTATGATGTGTCCTACCTGCACCAGAAGTTTGTCGCAACATTTACGGGATACCCTGTATATAGTTAGTTAGTTCTAAGCACTGGCCCCCAGCCCACCTAGCAGGCGAAACCTGCCATATGGCTATGAGGGGACAGGCCAAGCCACAAAAGCATAACAAAAAAAAAAAAAAAAAAAGTAAAGTGGATACATACATTCCAAGCTTTCTCGGTGAATTAGTACATAAATGCGTCTTTTCCATTTCTGTCTTTTTTCTGAAGTTTAAAATCTTTATAAGTTTTACTTTCAATTAGTTATTATTATTCAAATCTTCTTTATATTATCAAAATTCATCTTAAATTTATAAGTTACCTCAATTATTTCTGTTTTCAGTATGATTTTCTGCTTTGTTATATCTCGATACCAATATTCTTCTTATTCTCATTCACCGTTTGCATAATATTTCTTGCAAATTTTCTAAACAATTTATAATTACTAAATAAATCCTCAAACTTCGCAAATTTATATTTTTCTCTCACACTTCCAGTCAGGCAACAGTCCTCGACGAAATGCTTTGAATCGCCAAATTTATTACAAATTTTACATATATCATTTCCTTGGAGGTGGAACATTTTTAAGTAAGCAGGGAACCTTCCATATGCAGTGAGAATTTGATTAACATCTGCATCTCCTAAAATTCCCATTTTTTTGCTAATTTTTAAACATTTTAGATAGTTTTTGTTTCTTTCAGAGAGATCCTATAATTTTTTCCAGTCTCTAATAAGCTTGTCATATATAATTAACTCAAGGATTTCAACGCGAGCCATGGCAACGTTGTACAGAAAAAAAATTTTTATCTCCAGCGCGCGCGTCTCTGTATCGGAAATTCTAAAGATATGCTAATTTTAAAACTATTTTGCGATATTGCTGTTAAACAATTTTATGGTTTAAGTGCGAAGAACGTGATATTTAATAAATAAATGTAACACACAAAATGTTAAAGAAACACCCCTTTGCACGTAATTTAAAAATCTGAAACATTTCAGTTTTTTTTTGGGGGGGGGGGTGGCTCGTGAAGATGGACTTGTGTTTGACCGCTCTCAAAATCGGTAGAGTTAGTATAACTAAGATTGCTCATTTAGATTAATTCTAAAGGCTATTAAAATCGAAACCAGCGATTCTTTGTCCGTTGTGAAATTTTATTATTCATTTGACTTTATTTTAACTTCCCAATAAGCGACGTAATTTCCATGTTTCACGGAGGGGCGCGATTTCGGCAATTGGATAGCAATACCCGACTGGTAACATTAACTGCTATATCGTTAACCATCCCCGAGTGATGATATATTATTTTCGTTTATGCTGTACAAACTCTTACTTCCCATTGACTTACACGAAGAGGAATCGCAGAAGCATACTGTTACGAGCGTACGAAGTTCGTATAGGCTTGAATTCGCACAGAACCGATGAAAGTTTGATGAAATTTATTTCCCGACAACACTTTAACAGTTCTGCAACTTTCCACATAAAAATACTTATATAAATGTTCTCAGAATGACCATTACCATTTCAAACTACTGAAAACGTCGAACACAGTGCAATGCAAAGTGCCTCAGAAGCAAAAGCCTTGCACGCTGATCTCTCAATAATACTCTGAACTTCGAGCTAAACTAAAAACGGATGCTCTTTGCTCCTATAGTTTTTCGACCGGCGGCCACAGAAATTACCTGTAGCTTCGATATCCCGAAATTGCTGGAAGGTTCGTTCGCTCTGCATAAAGTGTTTCTATCATGTGTTCGCCTAGGCTCGTGCACAAGAGTTGTCTCATTAAAATATTACTACACACATACTATCATATTGTTGCGTGCGTACGGGTTCGTTATGAAATGAATGCACAAGTCCGATGAAACATGAACAAAAATTTATTATTATCACAACAGAAATGCTTAAATTTTCTCAAATTATCATGCAATATTACAATATCTCACAGTAGTTATCTTTTAACTACTCAAATGTACAATAGAACGTAATTCAAAACAGCTAACAAACGCTAATCCGCGAATTCGCTATAATCAACAACAGCAGTTTTCTAAACAACAACAAACTAAGCAACTACCACAAACTGAGATGTTTTCGTCCTTTTATAAGATTTTAAAATCACGCGCTAGAATTTTCCAGTACTTTCTCGAAATCAAAAAGAGATATTTATTTATTTAATGCACACGCTCTTGTATTTTTAATTTTTCCGGCTTAGCTTTCTTTTAATATTCGTCACGCGCTGCACTGCGCGAGAAATAAAACCATTTAATTTATAATTGAACTAACATTAGCTTTTTAAATACCAAATTCGTAACAATATGTTCTAACACCCAACTGTTTACCCTAATATTTATTTGCATCATATGCTCCTATTTGTATTATATCTGCTTTGCATCATGCGTTTCTATTAATAGAATAACATATGCCCTGTACCATGTGTGCCAATAAGTTATTTATGTGTTCTGCATCATTTCTCATTAGTATTATCTCTGTTCTGCATCATGTGCTTTTAAATAGCACCACATCTTCCCAAAGTCATGTGTTTTTATCAGTATTATAGTTGCCCTGCATCATGTCTTTTCATTAGCTCAATATTTACTCTGTATCGTGTAAATACTATTAACATATTTGCTCTGCATCATACACTCCTATCATGTGTTATCCTAGGTTCATGCACTATGAGTTGTCTCCTCATAGGTATTACTACTCATACACTACCATCTGTTTCATATGCAACACCAAGAGTCCATTGCTAATAATTATTTACAACAGATAAGACAGATAAGGCAGTTATAAGCTAAGGCAGATAAGACAGATAAGGCTGTAAGGATCTTAAGTTTTACTAATGTTTATTTTTATTTTAAATCTTTACTATCACTTCTTATTTTCTACTTCCGGCCAAAATTATAAGCGTGAAGGAGTTTATGCAAAGTTGTCTGGCGAACGCCAAGTATTTAAGTGTGGCCTTTTTGCCAAGAGAGAGAGAGGAAGCAGTGAGTTCGAAGCAGGCCGCTTACCTTAGAAGTTACGCAGTTGCTACTTTGCCTTCCAGGCCAGAGGTTTTAATCCTCTTGATAAATTAAACGTATTGTAGTGTTCACAGTCTCTGTGCTACATACGCTTCCTGTTATTATAAGGCCAATCTTACACGTGTATTATTCTAAAGTTAAATTAGAGTTTAGTTTTATTTTGATATCTTTTACGTTAGACCCCGAGTGGAGGGTCATTGTATTCCGAAGTACGGAAGTCATTGTATATAAAGAAAAAATAAAGGGTTTTGTATACCCTTCGTCTGTATCCTGTCTACTTACTACAATTAGTGAACATAGCTTTAGTAAGCTCTCTGTTCTAGTCAGGTCATTGTATGTTTCCGAAGAAGGTTAGAAGAAACATTGAACCTGATAGTGGCGCCCGACGAAGAAGAATAACCATGGCCGAGTTTCAAGAAGAACCTGTGCTGCCTGCAGAAACGGCTCAGAATCCAGAAATGCCAGCTGCCGCCCTGGAAGGATTTGGGTACATCGTCCAGACCATGCGCGCTTCGATGAAACCAGAAGCAACATTTAATGGAAACTCACCGGTAACCAGTTTTTTGGAAAAATTGGATGACCACTTCATGCTCTACCCCGTGCACGAGTTTCAAAAAGTTACCTTAGCTACCAGCGCTTTGAGGGGCCAAGCGCTTAACTGGTTCAAATGTATCGGCAGAAGTCTCTTGGGTCAAGCAGGAAGTCCCAC